GGGGGGGGGGGGGGGGGGGGGGGGGACGGCGTGGACTTACCGTTGGGTCGCTCCACAGTAGGTCAGTGACTTTCTGCTCCTGATCGGTGGAGGGCACCTGCGCCACGACGAGCGGCCGCTGCATCGAGCCGATGTCGTCCAAGGTGTGGATGGCGCCACCGATGCCGCCGTGGATGCACAGAATACGGTGCTGCAGGGCAGGGCAAAGGCAACCATTCGCGAGTGTGTGGCGGTGTCGTGTTGGTTTCGTTACTTACTTCGATGATCGCCCCGACAGACATCCACTCGAAGCACTTGTTGAACTTGCTCCAGCACGACGCGTGGTGGTCGGGGTCTGAATGCAGAACCGGCGAAACACGACGACGACCCATCAAACCAATCAATGAGGTGCCCAGCCGAGCGCGCACCTTCGCCGAGTCGCCTTCTGCACTCGTCCCTGAAGCCGTAGATCTGGTTGATGGTGCGGTCCTCGTGGTTGCCCCGGATGAGGTGGATCTGGGCAGGGTACCGACACTGCACACACACATCCACCACACACATCCACCACACACAGATGAAGGCGACGTCAGGCCGGGAGGGAGGTCTCTCACCTTGAGAGCGAAGAGCAGACACATGGTCTCCAGGCTGACCGATTGACAAGAGAAGAAACAGCCCGTGCGGGTGACCCACACACACTCATCTCATCGATGGGGGCGGGGCACTCACCTGTAAGCGCCCCTGTCGACGTAGTCTCCGAGGAAGAGGTAGTCGAGCGTGTCGATGTCGCCATCCTCGTTGAGGTCGTGCGGCGCCTTGAACGCCTTGAACAGACGCATCAGGTCCGGGAACTGGCCGTGGATGTCGCCATACACTGCACACACACACACACACAGACAGAGAGAGAGAGGCAGTGTGGGTGTGTCTGGTGGCCGGCCCCTCCCCCTCTCCCCCTCCCCCCCCAGAGACGTACCCTTGATGGGTGCTCGTAGTCGGAGCATCATCGGCTCCTTCTGAATATGGTCAAAAGTCTGACCACACACACACACACACTCGATGTGCAAGTTGTGGTGTGAGGCTGATGTGCACCGGTATACCTGGTCGCAGAGGTCGGCCACCTCGCGCGCATCAAGAATGAACGAGTCGTCACCCACACTTGACTCGTAATCCTCACCAGGCTGTCAAGACACACAAGCTGAGCTGTGTGTGTGTGTGTGGGGGGGGGGGGTTGGTGACCTTGAGGAGTTCCTTGATGACCCTGTTGTGTATGCCTGGCCCGTCGTGTTCGTGGACGATGGCCAGGGGGCTGGCCTGCTTGTTGATCTTCTTGCCCTCGTCCTCCAACTTGTCAATCGAGATCTAAGCAACAGACAGACAGACAGACACATGCGACGTGAGAGAGGCGTCTGTCTCGCTCTGTGTGCCCGTGACGGGCGTGGTAGGTACCTTCCTGACGAGAGCGGAGAACTCCTTCGGGACGCCCACATACACCTGGTGGGCTATGCGGATGTCCTACACATTACACATCATCACGGCTCTCTCTGTCTGTGGCAGGCAAGCCGACGCACACACACCCACCCACACACACCACATACCTGTCCCACGAGCTCCTTCCGCCTGTTGGCCGCCTGGGCGGTCCCAGCCAACCGGGGGGGAGTGGGGCTGACACACACACAGACACAGACACAGACACACAGATAAACAGACAGACAGACAGACAGATTCACAGGCCATATCACAGTGCTTGCACACAACCACCTCACTCACCTTCTGGCCAAGTTGCCAGGGGGTGCAGTGCCGGGCGCCTGTGCAGGCCCCAGCCCCCTCCCGATGGTCGGTGGGGTCTCGGGCAACGCCGCGGCCCGGCCGGCAGTGGGCGCCGCTGGTGTGCTTTTGCGAGTGACGCCCAGCTCGGGCTGCTGGGTGAGGTCGATGACCTGCAGGTCGGCAGTGGGTGCGGACGGGTGCTTGTGGTTGAAGCCGCCGTAGGCAAAGAGCAGGGACGAGAGGTGCCATGAGCTGTGCCGAAACTGACACGACGACAGCCGACACACACGTGAGTGCAGCGAGCGGAAATGGTTCCGTCTTGGTGTGTGAGAGGGTGCCGTGCCGTGCCGTACCCTGTTGATGGAGATGAGGTTCTTCCACTCGCACGTTTCCGTGTCGTACACACTCGTCGGCAAACTCCTGCAGTGAGTGAGTGACATCACAGTGATTACATATCGACCGACGGATGCCCGTCAGCTAACTTGGTGACATCGTCCCCTCTGCCGCCCACTATCAGCAACTTCGGGCCAAAGAACACCGCAGCTGAATGCCATCCAGTCCAACGCGCACAAAGACAGAAAAGGCTCAACTCAACCACAGTAGGTATGTGAGAGGTGTTGGTTTGCTCAAGCGTGTTCACACACAGTGTTGGAATCTCGGCTCTGGCGACGACCCCTTCTTGGTGGGCGCCTCCACCCAGTCCCACCGGCCGTCACGGTGCTGACGCAGACCCCACGCATCCTTCAACGACCTGCATGACCCGACACACGTGAAAAGCCTCACTCATTGCTCTCTCGTTGCGCGGCGGTGGTTTACTTGTTATCGCCCGTGCGGCCTCCAAAGACCACCTGAAGGTCAGCACATGGACGGACGGCAGCAAGGGTGGGTGCCGATGAGATGAGAACACAGGAGTTTCTTGCCTCGAGAGAGTCTGTGTGGTTCCTTACCATCATGCCGTTGGCCGGCCCCTCTTGGCACACCTGCACACACGCCAACACAAAGAGAAGAGGGCGTGGGCGAGTGCGGGAGGACGTCATTGCCATGCACATGGCCGCCCATACGAAACGCACCTCAGCAGCGTGGTAGACGCGCGGCATCGGTGCCTTGGCCCCCGCCGCCAACTGAACCTTGTTCCACTAGATTACACACAGACACATGACACACAATGCTCGCCTCGTGCTCTCTCTCCGTGTGTGTGTCTGTGTGTATACCTACCTGGAAAGGTGCCCTCTCGACGTCGAGGTACCAGATGTCGTTCTCGGCCGTCTGCCCGTTGTTGCCGCCAAACACTATCAGCAACGGCTTGTGAAATACCATCGTGTGACCTACACACACACACGCGCGCACACACAGGCCTCTGTGTGAGTCTGTGTGTGTGTCTGTGTGCGTGTGTGTGTGTGTGTGCCCACTGACTGACCATATCTGCGCCCGGGTGTGTTGCCCAGGACGGGCACCAGCATCCACGCGGACTGGTCGTTGCGAAAATCCAACAAATACAGCTGCGACAGACAAGCCACACACACACACAGTGATCATGCACAGTCACCACAAAGGTCATTCATTGGGCAGGGGATTTGTGTGTGTGTGAGCTCACGCCCGTCCGTCGGTCGGTACCTACCTCGTCTGATGAGAGTGAGCCTCCCCCCGTTGCGCCCCCGTAGATGACCAGCTGGAACTGATCCACACACGCTGCACCACACGCACGAAGACATCGGGAAGAAAGATGAGATGAAGGAAGAGATCTTCCCATCTACTTAGCTACAAGACCTATACGGCCTCCCTCTCCCTCCCTCCCTCCCTTGCTGACCCGCTGCGTGAGCAGCGCGTGCAGCTGGAGCAGTGCCTGCATCACACACACACACACATGCAATGGCAATGGTTGGCCGACGGGTGGGCATCTTAAGAGAGCTTTCATCCTACCGTCTGGCTGTATCTTCTGCCAAGTGTTCGACGACAAGTCAAGCGCATACGCATCAGCCGTGATGGTGTATCTCCCGGCATCTGCACACACCCACAGACACACACACACACACACCCCACAAACACACAACACACGCACACCCACACAAAACAAAACAGATGACCACATGCACTTCACGATTCTCGCCTCATTGCCCGTCAATTCTGTTTCACTCACTGACCTCCGGTGGCCCCTCCGAACAGAATGACGCGTGTGCCGCCGACGACTGTCGTCGTATGGCCGAAGCGAGCGCTGGGCTGCTCGCCGTTCTGGTCCTCTACCGTCGACATGGATTGCTTGAGTCGATTGAGTCACAACCCTCCAACGCACGCAGACTCTCTGGGCCCGCCCTACACCACTGCCACTGCTCGCTGCTCTTAAATGAGTGAGGGGAAAGAAGAGCTCACGAAGTCTCCGAAGGTTGGCGGTCTCTTGTGTGTGGCAGGCTGGCTTGCAGGTCTGTTGCTGTGGTGAGAAGAAGGGAACGATGGAGCGCCATTTCTTCGCTCGACTGCGAGCTGTTTGGGCGAGCTCGAAGCCGAGAAGGGGTGAAAACGAAAGAGCCTCTGTTGCTGTGGCCGACAAAGGACAAAGGATGGGGAATGAAATGGTATTCTGCAACTGTTCAACTCCAGTAGCTGAGCCAGACGCACAGGTCACATAGAGAAGAACAGAAAGAACAGAACAGCAGAAGAGCTCTGAGTCAGCCGGTCCTGTAGCCAGCCCAGCTGAGTACAGTGCAGACGCAGCAAAGATGACAGCAAATCGTGGTTGTCATTGTCTCTCCCTGGTCTCTGTTGTGTGTGTGTGTGTTGCATCTCTCTGCAGTCACGTGGCGAGGGCTGTCTCTACCCGCCCGAGTCAGCCCAGATACGGACGCCGCAATTCAATGACAGCGCTGGAGCCGCAGACAGTACGCGGCGCACGTCACACTCTGCTGTGGTTGATTGCCCATGGGGGTGTGTGTGTGTGTGTGCGTCTTGCAGTTGTGTACGTCACCAATGGGGGCGGCTGCCAGTCGATAACCAGGTGCTGCAGGCACCCACTCACGTTTCAAGACTACGGTACGCCGTGCTCGTCTTCACCAAACCCACGCACAGAGCACATCAATACCTCTCTCTCTCTCTCTCTGTGTGTGTGTGTGTGTGAACAGAGACGCCCGAGGAGGCGCTGAGCCGTGCCCGGTTCTACCGCCAGCGCATGTTGGAGGAGGGGCGGCCGTCCGATTTCCCCCTGGCCCTCCACGCCTACGGCAAGTGCCGCGAGATGATGCTCGAGAACCTCAAGTACCTGGCCCAGGGCAGCCACGTGGTGTCCACCGACAGTGTCGAGCACAATGAGGCTAAGAGGAAGGAGATTGAGCTGGTGAGTGGGTGGGCAGGGGACAGTGAGAGTGGTGCGAGGCGCGTGTGTACGTCTGTGTGTGTGTGCAGAAGTTGGCTGAGGTGTGTCATGAGATTGGCGAGGTGACGCTGGAGAACAACCTACACGACGACAGGGATGTCAACGAGAAGGTGCGCAGCGCTCTCACGCTTCACGTAGGATGGCATCATCCATCTCTGTCTGCCCGTCTGATCGATCAGGCGCTGTTGTTCTTCCGCGAGGCGTGTGACCACGACCCCTCGTCCTACGCCCACTGGTACAAAAGGGGCGGCACTCACCAGAAGATGAACCAAGACAACGAAGCTCTCGGTCAGCCGGGCACCAACACCACACACACATCCACACACACCGGCACCAACGCGTCAAGTGCCCGGACGTATCTGTTTGTCTGTCGTTCAGATTGTTTCCAGATAGCGCACGAGCGCGACCCGCATAGCGTTGGGGCGTTGTTCGGCATGGGTGTGGTCAAGAAGAAGCACAACAAGTTCCAGGAGGCGCACCACATGTTCGAACAAGTACTGCGGCTCCAGCCTGACAACAGGGTCCGTCGGTGGGCGGGGAAGAAGGAACCACACTCACGAACGGCGGATGTGTCTGATGTGTGTGATGTGTCTGCTGTCTCAGGGTGGGCTGAACATGCTGGCTGACCTGTCTGAGAAGCTGGGATGCCCCGAGGAGGCTCTCGACTATTGCAGAAGGTCAGTGCGCAGCCATCGGCCTACACCTGCGATGGCTTGACGTCCCACGTCTCTGATCAGGCTGCACAGTTTGGAGCCGACGGATCGCGAGCTGGTCATCAAGATCCGCAAGCTCGAGACGCAGCTGGGCGTGCAGCCGCTCACGCCGCTGCCCCCCTTGACGGGCAACATCCCCTCAAACCTCTTCCACTCCCGACAAGACCTGCCCGAAGACATGTAACGTGCTGCATGTCGACAGTCCGGAGACTCATGGCAGGCAGAGAGGGAGACGGGAGGGGGGCTAATTAGTCATTTGCTGGGCAACGGTCTTTTTCTCAGCCTGTCTATGGATGGATGGCCGCGTGAGTGAGATTTGTAACGTTCCGTGGCTGCCTGCGTGTGTGACGGCGGGCGGTATGCATGCATCGAGGAGATGTCGTGCCGTGTGTCGGCAGAGACCATTTGTATGGGTGGCTGCACGGACGGATCTTTGCTACATATACGGATCGATGTGGCTGTGCTGTGTACTATGTGAAGCGGGGAGACATTCCATGAATGAGTGAATGCGGTTCGCACCGTATGTGGTTCGACGACAACCTGTGAGTGCGAGCACAGGGAGAAATGGGGAATGGGCATCGCTCGTCGTCCATCGTCCAACATGTCTCCCATCCATGAGTATCATCTCATAAGCACGGACAGAGATATAAAATGTAAGCAGCGATAGACACATTGTCAGAAACCTCAAACATAAAATATAGGCAGTCAGCCCCTCGATTCGGCACTTAGCGCCCATGGAGACCGTGCTGCTGCGCTACGCGGTGTGTTGTCACTCGCACATGAATGCAAACGGGTCATCATGCAACAGGTCATCGTCACTGAGGTGGTCCTGCTCGCCGTCTTCTTGCAGTGTCGGCCACGGGGCGGCCATGGGAGACTGAATCGCCAGGTCATCATCCATATCACAATCCTCGCTGGCCAGCCTTAACCCGCCCCATCCCGGCAGCTCCCCTCTGATACCATCCGCGTGGCCCTCCGTCAGCTGGGTGTCCACAGCCCATGCCCGTGTCGTCATCTTCCTCTCTCTCCGTCAGAAGCCCCGACCCATATCGCCCGGCCCACGATGGCACGCTGGCGGTGCTCCGCACCGAATTGCCGTCGCCGCTCCCATCCCCATGCCCCCCCAGTCTTGACACGCGCCCTTTTGAACGAGGGCATCTCAGTGTCCGCCTCCTCGCCAAAGACACGCCGCCTGAGACACATACACAGACACACACACAGACACACACACAAATCGTTGTCTCGCCGTTCCATCCACGTATCTACCTACCTTTGTGTGCCCACTGTCCGCCGTCATCGTCCTCATCGGAGCTGTCGTGGTCGCCGGCCTCCGCCCTCTCTCTGGCGCGGCGCGCAGAGAGCTCCCTCGACGGCCACGAGTGGCCCGGCAGGTAGAGGGGGTCCAGCTGTCGCTTCCAGCCGTGCTCTTTCATGAAGCTTTGGTGGTTCCAATGGCGCATCTTCGCCTCCTGCCTCTCCTTGGTCGCCGCCTCCCTCTCCTCCTTGGTCACCTTGGCCCTCTTGCTCCTCTTCTTGGCCTTGGGTTTCGGCTTCGGCTTGCTGGCCGCCTTCTTGGTGGCCGGTGCCTTCTTGACGACGAAGCCTTCGGGCAGTGGCGGTGGGGGCATGGCCAGACGGTCGGCTTTCTCGTTAGCCATCTTTGACCACAATCTCGGTGTCGGCCTGGTGGGTGGGGGGCAGGAGATGGTCTGGGGTGTGAGGGGTGGGGCAGGTGGGGAGGGGCTGCGATGACTTGAGCATGGGGGGCCGCTCCTCCTGGACTTTTGATTGCATGGCGGCCTTCTTCCTTTGCGTGCGACGGGGACGGGCTGGCGGTAGGTGTAGGCCACCGTTGAGCAGCCGGCCCTTGGTGGGGTCCACCTCTGTATGTATCAATGGAATTAAGATACATGGCAGAAAGCACACCGATCAGGCCGGCTGATGGGGTGGCAGGTGCAGCTTTGTTCTATGTCTATCTGTATGTCTGTCTCCATACCGTCTTCGGGTAGCTTCTTGGGCGTGCGCTTCCTCTTGCCCCGCACCTGATGCGCCACTTCAGCAACGACAAAACTAGACACACCTGGGCACCATAGCAACGCAGCACAATTGGATGAACACATTGTGCTGATCTATCTCCCAAGTGCCCATAGTATTACCTTTCGGGCTCTTCGATTTCTTCTTGGTCGTCACGCTACTCACGCTCGTCGCTTCACGGGGCTCCTCGCTCACGATATCTGCAGTGCAGTAAGCAGTGGAGACAAAAAGATTCATTCGTTCGTTCGGGAACGGCTTGCAATGGTGTACCATCGGTGTCCATATCATTCGATGAGGGCCCGCTGCGCTCGTCCACGATCTCTGCCACACCATATCTTGATGCATGCAAACGAAACGCAGTGGCATGCACGGTCCACATTGCATTGACCGCCGCAACAGATGTTCTCAGCTTACCGAGTGCTGACACGTCGTCCTGGAAAGCCATGCTGGAGCTGAAGGCCTTGCTGCCGACCTCTGCAGAGATGGTCACTGGGCTGGCCATCGGCACCCATCGCACCGGGACGCCCCGTGTGACGAGGCTCATCGGCGGACCGGGGCCACCGCCTGGCTGGCCGTACATGCTGTCTGACGACAGACAACAACGCTCACTTGCCTTTGCTGCCTGCAGAGCTGTTGACGACAACGGCGTGAGATAAGCGGTGGCTGTGTCCATATCATTCCATGACGGATGGCCCGCTTGACCCTCTCCCCCACAATGCCGTCGGGCAGCTCGGCGTCTTCGTTGTCCGTTGGGGGAAATGGGAACGCTGATAGCTGAGGGAGTTGCATGGCCGCATATGAGGCATCCGTCTCCTTCCCATCCTCCCACAGGTCACATCTCCACGTATGTGCTTTGGCTTGGCCGTGCGGGGCCAAACATGTCACGTGCGGCCGTCCATTCAGCTGACAAACAGACACAGGCAGACAGACAGACAGACAGAGAGACACGTATCAAGAACAGGTTGGCATCCATCCTTTTTTCCCAACACCACACCCGCTGTCCCTCCTTGCCCCAACCCACCTACCACCCACCCTTGTTTGTTGCATCCTCCGCCGTCTCTCTCTTCAGAGGGACCCTCTTGGTTGACAGGCTATGCACGGCTCGCACTTGGTCGGAGACAGGCGGAGACGTGAAGAATAGAGCCGGCGACATATAAAGTGTAGGCAGCGGTTGCCACTGAGGCATCATGTTCATCAGCTCGCTTGACCTGCTGAAAGATCTGCTCCTCATTCAGTGTCACGCTGTGACCCGCGGCCGCTGTCAAAATGGTTCGCCTTTTCCTCCGGCACACCTTGAGATCCTCATGCGGCGCATCCCGGCCCGTTCCCCCTCCCGACAGGAAGGCTGGACACAGACTCTGAGGCAATCTGAGATAGAAGGAGCGGCGGCGGCCGGGAGACGCCGCGGCCGGCTGGTCGGGGGAAATGGGCTGTCTGCCGGTGAGTGGGCGAGTGCGGCGGAGAGACCGACCGCTGCAGCGTCGGGAAGGCGGCGTCGGGGTCCTTCTTGGTGTCGTCACCGTCCTTCTTGGTGGTCTCGTCGTCGTTGTCGGTCTCATTGCGTCTTTCTGAGGAAGAGTGAAAAGAACGACGACATAAGAAAGAAAGCAGAGAGGGGAGATACGGATGTGTGTGGGTAAGATACCTGGGCGACGCCTTGGCGAGGTGTCGGGTGACGAGGGGGGCTCTTCACCGCACAACGGTTCCCAACACACTGCAAACCAGGGAACACAATCAGAAGACACAAACGGATGCACGCACGAATGTGTCTCGGTACACACACGAATCTGTGGCGTACGTGATCGCCTCGTCAGCCACCTCCCGCCCCTCGAGTGTGGCGTCGAGCTGGTCCACCGATACATGAGAGAAATAGTCCTCAAGATATAAAATGTAGGCAGCAATCGACTGACCAATCCTCCATTGCTGGCACCGACCCCCCACTGATCGGTCTCGAAGCGCTGAGGTGCACCACCGCCACCACCAACTTGTCTACGCAGCTGGGAAGAGCTCTGCATGCAGGAAAGCAAGACGCACATACACCCACCAGGCCAATGACACATCATCTGCTTTTCTTCCTCCCTTGCCTGATCTCCGTCAGTGTGTGTGTGTGTGTGTGTTGTCTTACCAGTCATGGTATCATTGTAGAACTTATCCAGTCTCGCCCACATCTCCACGTGCCCCATCCCATCAGCGTGGCCCATCCCCAGCTCGCGATACAGCTGGACGCTGAGGGCGCCGAGGGCCTTCCACTGCCACTTGGCCGCCTCGGGCTGCTCAGAGGCCTCGATGGCCTCCTCGATGTGGCTGCTGGCCGCCGCTGCGATGCTGGCGACCGTTGCCTTGTATGCCTCCCTGGCGCCCTCGCGCGTCGCCTGGGCCGCCTCCCCTTCGCCCTGCTGGCTGCGGGCCGCCTCGCACTCCTTGAGGAGCTCTTCCAGCTCCGTCTCGGCCAGTTTTTTGACGCCCTTGGCGGTGGCGTCTGTCGGGGACGCCAGCAGCATGAAGGAGGAGGCCGCCCCAATGCAGTCGGTGGCGTAGATGACCGTCTCGTCGACCACCTCCCGCCGGTCCAGTGTGGTGTCGAGGTGGCGCACCGAGACACGAGAGAAATCGACGGGGCTCTCCAGTTCCTCCGACTGCATGTGGCGCGCGCTCTCGAAGTCGATGACCATGACCTCGCCCGTCTCCAGGTCCGCCACAATGTGCACATTCCGGTAGTGGAAGTCGTTGTGTGTGATGTGGTGGTGGCGGTGGATGTGGAGAAGGGCGAGGACCATGTTGACCGACACGGCGCCGCGCAGCAGCGGTCCAGGGGGGCGGCGGCTGGGGATGGGGGGCCGGCACAAGTGGTCCACGGTGTCGGCACCGAATACGTGGCCCCCTGCATGCATGACACACACAGTGACGGCTCGTGCGCGCGTACGTGTGGCACGTTCCTTCCTTTTGTGTCCGTTCCGCTTTACTTACTTCTGTCCGTCGTGCCCACAACCATGCCCATCACGTAACAAACCCCCTCCTCAGCCACCAGGTCCGTCATGCGCTTATTCACAGCCGCCCCTCCCTCCCGCGCCTCCCTCATCGCCACCTTGCCCGCCGCCAGCTCCTCTTGGCTGAGGAACCCCGGCCACTCAGGCACACACCGCCTCACCCCTGTGTACCGCCGGCCGTGCAGGAGATCGGGCAGCCGGTGCTGCCGGATGTCGCTGGCGGCAAAGTACAGCAGCCGCAGCGTGTCCGAGTCTCGCTGCACGTTGGCCCGCACCTTCTCCCGACCCACGCCAGCCTGCACAAGGCCGGACACCGACTTGGTGACGACCCAGCTGCCAGCCGGGGTGGCCCCCTCCCCGGTGGCCTGGCTGGGCGATCGACGATGCCGCCCTCTCCCTCTCCCTTTCTGACACCCTCGCTTTGTCATGCCCGCCACGGTCCAGGTCACCGTCTGTGTTTGTGCCTGTCGGGGGTGCCGAGGGCGAAGAGGGCGGGGTAGTGGAAGTGGTGTGCGTGACCGTCGGGCTGGCGGGTCCATTGGTGGTGGTGGTGCGGGGAGGGCTGGTGGGTGAGGGTGAGGGGATGGACGGGTGGGAGGTCGTGGGGAGGGTGGTGGGGAGGGTGGTGGGGAGGGTGGCTGGGGGGGCAGACAGCTGAGGCTGGGGTTGCGGCTGCGAGAGGCCCTGACAACGGCCCGGCGCCAACCGATGACTGCCACGTCTGTGCTTGTGCGTATGTGCTGTGCAGCTATGGCCTACCGTCTTCAGGAATTGCACCGTCAGGGAGCTTGGCGATGGCGGTGCTGGTCTTGACAATGGCCTCGCAGGTTCTGGCGATGGCCTTCCCGACCCACGTCCCCGCCAGAACGCTCCGCGTCCTCTGAAAGTCGCGGCGCCTGAAGACAGGGCAGGCAAGGAATACAAATTGAACATACTTGCAGCGCATCTGCAATGGTGTGCACCATAACACAGCGGCAGGCAAGGGCTTTCCTCACCTTGTCGTCGGCGTCATGGCGTCCAATTTTTGTCAAACTCTCACAGGCTCGTGGCGTCGTGTGCTCTCGCTCTCTGTCTTTCTTTCTCTCGCTCAGACGCTTTTCTGAAGTTCTCAGCTCTGTAGGCAGGAGAGCAAGACACACATACACCCACCATGCCAATGACACATCATCTGCTCTTCTTCCTCCCTTGCCTGATCTCCGTGTGTGTGTGTGTGTGTGTGTGTGGGTGTGTGTAGGTCTTGCCGCCCGTACCATTCAGAACATCATTGCCGTACTTATCCATCAATTTCCACATGGCCTCGGGCGCCATCCCATTAGCATGCCCCGGCCCCAGCTGCTTGTACAGCTCCATGCCTCGCCATGTCCAGCCTCTTGGCATGGCGAGGCGGTCTGGTTGGCCTACGAGGCAAGCACCGAGACATCAAAGAAGAGGCCCGCGAGATATAAAATGCAGGCAGCAATTGCCGACGGGTAAGTGTCCGACGGCAAGGGCCCGCTTCCCGCTCGTGGCGTCGGACATGTTGCTGGAAGCAGAGCCCTTGCCGTCTCTCCCTCTTAGAGTTCCCCGATATCTCCAACATTCCTTCTCCACTGCCGGGCAGAATGGACATCCCTCGTAAGAGACCTGCACGACGTACTGTTCCACCACGAGGCTCGCGTCGTCGGACATGTTGCTGGAAGCAAAATGGTGAGACAAGGCACTCATCCAAATCCAAATCCTACATCACACACACAACACACACACACATACGTACAATGCCCATATGGCACACAGATAGGTGTGTGTTGTGACTTGGTTGAGTTGATTCCATCCGCACGACACAATTGTTGGCTGCTTGGCCGTCATATTGAGCTGGACGCAACTAATAGCTCCGTTACTGCCTCTGGTGCGGGACCGCATATCGCTACCCATACCCCGCCCCAATGCCCTCCGCCACGGCCACCTCTGGCGGCAGCCACACCCACTTGCCCGCCACACCCTGGCCAGCTACCCACGCACCAGGCAGATGGATGGCCTTGGTCACCCTCCCGGCAGCCCCTATCTCGATGGGCACGTGGAAGCCCTCCACCGACCACTCGAGCGGCAGCATGTGCCCGTACGGCACTGGGGGAGGGTGGCTGGGCAGTGCCGCGCCGCGCGGCAGCCATCTCCCTTCGTAGGCCGACTCTGGGGGCGGCCATGCAGCGGCGTTCTCACGGTGGGGGCTGGGGGGATTCGGTGTGAGGGCCACGACAGGCTGCTCGGGCTGGGTCTGGATCTGGTAGTGCGGGTGGGGGTGGAGGTGTGTGAGGGCAGGTGCCACCGCTGGGTTGATGTACTTGTCGATGGCGGCTTCCAGAAGGTCTGGCACGAGTGGGCATACCGTGCCACTTGGGCGCCTTGAGAGGGCATGCGCGGCACATAGCCCTCTGCTGCACCGAGGCGGCTCGGGTCTTCTACTGACGGGCTGCCGGTATCCTGCAGCCATCCATCCACACACACAGGCAGACACACAGCCAAGTAATGATGCAGACAGGTGTGTGTACGTGTTCATGTAGGTCTCTGACGCATGCTCACATCAGTGTTGGTCAGACGGGCGCAGAATGCAGAGGTTGTTTTGAAAAGTCTTGGGATATAAAATGTAGGCACCGATTCTGCTGATGAGAAATACGATGCGTCACAATACGCCGTGTCTCTCCTCTCGTACCTTCCTCAACAGCTGTGGCGTGCGATCTGTTGATGGCCGCGACGTACTCCTGCCTGGCCGTCCTCACACGTGGTGCGGCACGTGCGGCTCGTGTCCAACCAGGTCTCTCCAACCTCTGCATCCGCACACACACACACACACACACAGAGCCGTCCTTTCATGTATCTTCCGCCTTTTCCACCCACCGGCGTACCTCCTATCCACTCGAACAGTACACCTCTGAGCGGCCCATACATCACCTCGTCACCACGAATCAGGAAGGGGTGGTCGTCTGGAAGACTCCTGACACCCTCCCAGGCAGGCAACGGCATCCCCTCGTCGTCGGTGATCTGACAAACAAACGGGGAGTGGAGGGGAGTGGGTGTGCCGTTTTGGCTGTCCTTGTGTGAGTGTGTGGTCTGTCTGCTGACCTCTAGGATGGACCATTTCTTGGCGGGATCATCGTGGAAGAAGGCCAGCCGGCCAACGAAGGTGTCACGCCACTCATTGGGCATGGACAACTCGCAGACGTAACACAGGTTGCGCGCCTCTTGTATGTCGTACTGGTAAGAAGACACATACACACATACACACACACACACACACGTGAGCATGCAGGTCTTTGTTGCCCGGTTGTTCTTTGGTTGGATTGGCTGGCTCCCTTACACAGAGGTGGAAGACGCTGTGGACCTTGTTGAACGCCTGTCGGTATGCCAACTCAGCGGCCAGCTCCTGAAAAGGGACACAGAACAGAACCGCACATTTGCGTGTCAGTGTCTGTTAGTAATGCTCTCTCGGTTGATTGCCTGCTCACCTCTTCGTAGGATACTTGTTGCCGGGGGCAAAAGTCGGGCCAGTAGTCCTCTACGAACGACAGAGCCTGCAGACGGAGGGATGGATGGATGGATGAGTGAGGTTGTCTCTGTAGCCTCACCATGGCGTAGTCCTTCTCCGCCGGGAGTATCGTCAACAAGTTGCACACACACACGGACGCCCACTTCTGCACACACACGGACGGCATTCACAGGCTGTGCTGTCCGTTACCGAGCCTGGTATCATCTTGAGCATGTGCACGCACACATCGCTCACGGCGGCGAAGTCCTTGGCGGTGATGGTCTCCTGTGAGTCGTCCCAGACACAGGCATGCTCACACGTCAATGAGAAAGAGGAAATCTGCGGGCGTACCAACTGTTTGGCATCGGACGCACGGCGGAGATACTCTAGGACATACAGCTTCAGCTGCCCTCTGCCCGACTCGTGCAACTTCACTGTCATATCGACAGAGATTGCACACACACACACACACACATGGCTTTGTATGTTGCACCGCCCACTAGCTCACGGACATACCCGAATGCCGTCGATGACGACGCCGAGGCGAGCGGCCCAGCTAATGAAGTGGAGGGCGCTGTGGATGACCGGCATGGTCAGCCGGAATCCGATCGCCCTCACCATACCCGGCGTCGCCCCTTCCGCCTTGGCCTGCGCCATTGTCATGGCCACCGTCTCGACGTACTCAGCCAACGGCGCTGAAATAGAGAGTCATGCGATTGCGTGCATGCCTGCTTGTCTCCCTGTCCGTGTACTTACCTCCTCCGCCCTCCATGAGCACCCCCTTGAGGCCATTATGTACGATAATCTCGAGTATGGCGGGGATGACGGGGTGCCGCAGGTCACGGTAGTGCTCGCAGTTGGTGTCGAACCCCGTGGCCGGCAAACCAAACATGTCCACTATCTGCACGCACCACCACACACACAGACATCACATAACCATCCATCCACCCAGCCCTGCCCTCCCTCTGTGTGCCCGTCCGCTCACCTGTGTGCGGGGCTACAGGTATGGCGGGATGACCTTGAGCCTCAGCTCTCCGCCACTTGTGGCGCTGACGAAGTTGATGTCGAATGGCGATTGGCAGCCCCGCCGCTCCAGCTTGGCCTTCTCCTGCTTGCTAATGACAATGGCCTGCGCACACGCAAGACGCACAGCAAGAAATGTGCTGCATGCTCCAAAGGCAATCAGTTTGTGCCTCTCACGTACGCAGAGTTCATCGATGCGCGGGTCGGGGCGAATCCCGTCAGCCTCTGAAGGATCCCTCTCAACATCTCCTCGTCCTGCATTCATTCACACATAAGTCAGAATGTCATTCTGCAGTGCAGTGTGGCCTCCGCCACGTCCCCTGTGGCCTTCGTGGCCTCTGTCACGCTCGCCCTCCTGCTTGGCCAACTTCTGCTCCTCCTTGCACGCCCTGAGGAGATGACATCGTTATTTATAGAGAAAACACTTTTATGGTTCGTCTTCTGTCTCTCGTCGAGAAATCTCGCCACGACAAGCGAAGGACAACGAAGAGGCTGTTGACGGTGTCGTCCGACCATGAGGCGAGCAGGATGAGCGAGAGGGTCACCGTAGGGACCGGCAGGAGTGGTACTTGCTGACGGTGACGACCTGTGTGCACAAACACGCTGCCCGGTGCAGGGACCAAACTCGTGCTGTCCATGATTCTTACGTATAGCTGCTCGATGCGCGAGTGTGATGGTATAAAATCAGGCCGATGGTCTGTGAGCAGAGGACCAAAGAAGTCAACACGTCAGAGAGCATGGTGGTCAGTGAAGAAATGGCTGTCTTCTGCCATACTCTCAACATACTGTTTCGTGGTTTCGGAGTACGGGGCAGCACTGGCCACTTAGGGTGCGCACTGCAGCGCACACATACTCGTGTGCGCTTCCACAAAACACACGCACGTGGCGCCAGCGCTCACCCGGGGAAGGGACAAGTGACGTCTGAAGTGCGCGTTTGCAGGGTGTCTTGGGAGAGGCCGTGGCGAGGCATGTGAGGCAAACACCAGGCGGAGAGAGGCGAAAATGGAGCAGATACGAGCGAGAGAGGGCAGAAGCTGAGGAAATGGGAGCTGTGTGGATGAAATCGATTTCCAAAAGAATGGTCTGTCTCCTTTTTGTCTCTCGGCGAGATTTGTCTCTCGTAGAGAAATCTCGCCAACTTCATTCACTGTGGCAATGCGCGTGGACGGGAGGGTGAGCTTTTCCTTGCCTCAAGGGGGGAGGTCGCGCCCCCAACTAGCGAGCTCAAACCTTGGGGCCCGGATCAATCAGCAGCCCAGTGGATATCTTCCCATGTCGGTGGTGTTCGCGGAAGGTGCGTCGCCTTCTGTGGTGACGATGGGCACCGATGTGCTCCTCGCCCTCTCCCAAGACCAACCCCACACACAGCAGAAGCTCATCGAGGAGCTCACCAGGCAGCGTGATGAATTGAGGGGTGAGCTCGATGCCTACAAGCGGCGGCTGGATGAGGCGGAGCAGCGCAACCGACAGGCGCAGGCCCAGATCAGGGACCTCGAGGCCCAGCGGGTCCAGGACTCGGCTGTGACGTCGACGTCGGCGTCATCTGAGGTCGGTGACATCAGTGCAGAGATGGTGCGGCAGCAGCTGCTGGAGCAGCAGCGGACACAGCAGCGCCTGATTGAGGAGGTGCAGCGGCAGAGGGACGAGTACCGAGCAGAGCGTGATGCCTCTCGGCAGAGGCACGATCAGGCGGAGCAGCGGCGTCGTCAGGCGGAGGCACGCAGCCAGGAGCTTGCGGCTCAGCTGGCTCGTCGGGAGGAGTCCGATGGTGGCCCGCTCGTCCCCAAGACGATTGTGTGGGGTGGCCGGCTTTACTACGGGTCCCTGCTCGGCGGCAAACCTGACGGGGCGGGGGTGCTGCGGACAGTGGACGGGAGCCGCAAGCTATACGAGGGAGAATGGAGGGCGGGCTGTCGCCAGGGGGCCGGCACCAGCTACTACTGGTACTACAACAGCCAAAGCAACCCAGCGAAGTGCAGTGGTCAGTGGAAGCAGGACCACTACAACGGTCAGGGCACGAGCCACCAGGCAAACGGCGACGTGGAGTACGACGGGCAGTGGATATGCAGCAAGAGGCACGGCCAGGGCACGCTGTACGACGTGAACAGCAACCAAACATACACGGGCGGCTGGGTGGCTGGCAAGATGCACGGCGAGGGGGAGATGACGCGCCACCCATGGGGCCAAGACGGCAAGATGCGGTACACCGGTCAGACCCTCAACGGCGAGCCCCACGGCAGAGGCAAGCTCGAGGACGGCCGTGGGGCTGTACGGCACGAGGGGCAGTGGGTGAAGGGAGCCCCTGCTGTGATCACGGATGGCCTGCCGTCCCAGCGTTCGACGCTTGCACTGGTCGACCGACGCTAGTGAAGCTCGGCGGATTCGGATAGATTTGCCGTTTGTGATATGTGCAACACAGACGTGGTAGACAGTAGTGCGCCTCTCTCTTATGTGTGTGTCGATATCATTCATGAGAACCTCTTCTGTGAATCGCATTTGTGCTGTCCTCTCGTTTCACCCTCAAGCCGCACGCACCACATCCAGACACCCACTGAAACACTCAATCGACCCCTCCCTGACTGAACACTCACTCGTCATGTCATAAAGCGCCCATACTACACTCCATCCATCCACCCATCACCCCGCACCACTCAGCAACAAGGTGGTCAGTAGGTCAGTCGCCGAGCTTGAGGTCGCCCGACCGCGACCTCTCGAAGAATCCCCTCTCTCGTTGGTAAGCCTTGTAGGCGGCTGAGCCGCTCATCTTCTTCTCCATCGAGTCGGCCTCCTGCGGCCCCAGCTTCAGCTGATACCACAAGACCGCCCCACCCACACACGCATAAAGCGCCAATGCCGGCAACGGCAGCTTCCTGTCGGGCTGCTTGTAAGACTCATCGAACTCTTCTGCAAGGGCCTTGGCCTCCATCTCCCTCTTCTGCTGCTCGGTGAGGCTCTCCAGCTCCTTTTGCGCCTGCTCCTCCCCGCCGTACTGCTCGTAGAGACTCTCGCCCTCCCTCTGCTGCTCGCCCTTGAAGCGCTGCAGCCCCGGCACATTCAAGAAGGGATTGCCCTGGAGCAGCGAGTCGGGCGAGGCCGGCGAGGGGAGGGACGATGTGCTCAGCAAAAAGTCATTGGTGGTCGACGTCGCCATGGTAGCGGTAGGCGCCATGTCTGCGGCAGTGGCGCGCATGCTGACGGGAGAGGGGATGGGGGCAAAGGGGAGAAGGGCGGCCGTCATGGCCAAAGCGAGGGAAGAGTCAGGCCATTGGCCGAAGGATGTGGGGGACGGCAAGACGGAGGCTGATGTCGAATCAGGGGTGGGGAAGAGAGGCGGCACATCTTCACCGTTCTCACTCGACTTATGGTACTTGAGGACGCCGGCGGCCGATGACTGCTTTGCAGTGGCTGCCTTAGACGCTGACACGTCACCATTCGCCTGCACCTTCCCCCCACCACCCCTTTGCTGCCCCTCATCACCTCCATCATCGTCACTGTCTCGTTTCGTGGATTTCTCGAAGAATGTTTTTCTGGCCTCGCCGCGCAGGCCCCTCTCCTGGCCGCTGCCGAAGTCGAGAGCCTTGAAAGCCCAGCTCAGCCACTCGGGGCCCTCCTGCTCCTCCTGCTGGGCGTCGCCCTGGTCGAAAAGGGGAAAGGGAGCGCTGTAGCTGATGGCATAAGAGATGCCGAGGACGGCAGCGTTGATCCAGTAGATGGTCGACGGCTCCTGAACGACACACACCACACAATGGGCGATGCATTCACGTGCGTTGTCTGTCCCGCTTGCCTTGGTGAATGACGGCGCGGCGAGTGTGGTCACCAAGACGGCCAAAAAAGCCCAGTCGAGCGCCCTCTTCTCCTTCTTGGCGGGCTTGCGAGCCCTAAGTGAGGGTATGATGAACAGCCACCAGTTCCAAAACCCCAGCACCTGCAGCGAGAGGTCCACCTCACCCACCCCAGGCACGTTGTTGTAGACCAGCATCGCACTGATGGCCGCCGCGAGAGCCGACTGCCCCAGGAACACGGCCTTGAGCCAGCCCCTGACGTATAGCGTCTTCTCGGTCTCGAGGATCTTCTCCTTCTTGGTGATGGTCTTGTCCAGCTCGCTGATGGCTGCCTGCACCTCGGCCGTCTGCGGCTTGGCCTTGAGCGTCTCCATCTCGGCGTTGAGGGTCTCCAGCTCCTGCTCCAGACCCAGCACCTTGAGCGGGTTCATCAGCTGATCCACATCGATGTTGAACCGAGCACCCAGCTCCGCGTTGACGCGCTCCACAATGCGCGGATCGACCGTATCGCTGGCCTGTGGCTGCTGCGGCTGCTTCACATCAGGCGATGACGGTCCGGAGAACAGGGGCCGAGCAGAGCGATAGGGAGTCTTGTGCGCGAGGTGGTCCGCAGATCTGACGCTTGCCCATGAAGATCCGACAAAGCCGAGAGAAGATGTAGTGGGAGGCGGCCTTCGCCATGCTAATGATGATGCCTTGAGGCTTGTGACGACTCCCAGGACACCAGCAGCAGCTTGAGTGAGCAAGATCAGGGAAAGACGGACTATCAATTGAGAGAGAGTCCTCTGCATCATCACCATCGCTCCCATGAACAGGTCCTCGGATCTCCCTCGCAGCTAAGCTCGCAGTCGTTCTGTTTACATACCGTTCCCTTTTCCCCATCATTTTTGTTGTTTCGTGCATCTCCTGACGATGCAGCGAGCGAAAACGTCCAAGCGCAAGCAGCAGCGCCAGTCCAGCAGCTCTGCGGCTGCTGCTGGCATGGAGTGCTACGTCTGCAAGAAGAAGGCTACCATGGTACGTTCAACCAACCACAGGACCGGCCAGGGCTCCTCTCCGTATCCATTGATCTGCTCATGCAGGCTGGTCAGATGGCGGTGACGTTGTTTGGTAAGAAGGTCAGTATGCCCGTCCACTTTTGCTCCAAGGCAAGCGAGAGGCCGTCGGCCGGAGGAGAGGAGGCGAGAGGGTGTCATTGCAGTTGTCCTTGTCATGGGCCTGTCCGTGCAGGAGTGCGCGGCGCAGCTCAGCTCGATGGACAAGCAGATGGACAGGCAGAAGGTGTGTGACCAGTGTGGAAAGAAGACCAACAAGGTGAGCCACCAAGCCACCTTCGCCATCGGCTGACCCTCGTGCCTGGTTCATCTTTGTTTGTGTGTCAGTTGCGCTTCGGTATGTGTCAGTTTGGCGGCCGCATCGCATTCGACTACTTCTACATGTGCTCCGACGTATACACAACACGCAGGCATATAACCGCCATTTGTGTGTATGTTGGGGTTTGCTCATTCAGCGTTGTTTCGAACAGCACCAGCAGCCCGCCAATGAGGCCCTCGACCGCATCAAGAACACACCTGCGGCACACAAGGAGCAGCCGACCCCATCTGCTGGTGGTGGTGGTGGTGTGTCGACTACATCGGTATGTGACGTCTGCTCCAAGAGGGCAACACAGCCGAAGGTGTCGACAAGAGAGAGAGAGGAGGAGAATAGGGGGAGAAAGAGCACATGGCTGTTGCCTTGTGTCGATTTCAGCGTTGCGGGAGCTGCTACCGGCGTGTGTACTGCTCCAAGGTCAGCAGTGGAACACACACGGACGACAGAGATGGATGGATGGAGACCTGGGTGGGTTGTCTTCTTTCTTGTGTCCATGTAGGAGTGTCAGCTGGTCGATTGGCGTGACCTGGGCCACAAGAAGGCGTGCAAGACACTCGCTGCTGCACACAATCAGGCCACCCCCACCAACACCAACACTGCCCCCTCCGCCGCCCAGTCGTCACCATGGGCCAGCATGAAATGCGACTTCTGCTCGGGCCCAGCCGTCACGGTCAGACAATATTGCCTGTGTGAATGCGCTCACACGCTTCGATTCATTGTACCCTGCAGGGCCATTTGAAGGTGTTGACGCAAGCCGACGGCCGAGAGAAGTACCTCCACATCAAAACATGCTCGAATGAGGTGCGAAGAGAGACTTGCACCTATCCATCCACACGTGGACCATGCAGTGCTGGGTGTCAGTCGTGCTTGACTATGTTGAAGTTGCTGGGTGTGGAGACCGAGGAGACGGAGGAGCTGAAGGGGTACAAAGACACTCCCTTCGTCCCCCTCACCTCGGTGCCGCCCGGTGGTCTGCCGCCCGCCACCAGATGCACCGTCTGCGGCAAGAAGGCACACATGGTGAGACACGGGAGGGAGGGAGGGAGGGAGGATGGAGGAGACACAAAAAGGGATGGATGGATGGCTGTTGTGGTTGTGTGTGTCTGTGTTCAGCGATGCATCCACTGTCTGCATGCGACGTACTGTTCGGAGGTCAACTGTCAACACGACCACATACCATACATGGCCATACAGCAGTCCAATCGTGTGTCCTTTCGTCCTTCCTGGCTTCAGGTGTGTCAGGAGGCGGACTGGGAGAGCCACCGTGAGGTGTGCGACCTCCTCAAATTCCACCACTCCCGTGTCAACATGACTACCGGCCATCATTCCAACTTCACCGATGGCAACCTCCGAGGAGATGTGATGATCGAGGCCGCCAAGGGAGGACATATTGTCGACATCAGATTCACATCAGAGGTAGGTAGGTGGGTGGGCGCCGCGTCACACCCCACTGTATGGTGTGGTCTCCCTGCCTGTCTGCAGGTGACCAAGAACGTGCACCACGTGCTGCATCCGATCAAGACGCTGTACCGGTATGTCAAGAAGCTGGAGGACAAGGGCATCGAGGAGCTGACCGACACCGTCAGACAGATGGGCCTCACAGCCAACCATCCCACCACCAAGGGCCTGGTATGTAAACACAGGCACGTCCGTGTGCACGTATGTGTCACGTCACGCGTGAGTTGTGTGCAGTGGGCGGCGACGCTGGACAAGAAGATGACCGAGTTCGAGACCAAGCTGAGGCACGGCAATGCGGGCTTCGTCCTCGACGACATGTCCCTCTACGGCATGGTGAGTGACCATACTGACAGACCCGCGTAGGTAGGTGTGCATATCTCTCTGTCTTGCGTGTCTGTAGGACGTGCTGGAGTATGCGTTAATCGTGAAGGAGAAGAAGGTGCCGACGATGGGCGGCGGTGCGTTCATCCCTGGCGGGCTGCCCGTGTTCGACATCCTCCTAGCCACCGAGGCCAGCATCCGCGAGGCAACGGGCAAGGGCCATCCACACAACGGCTGCACGTGGGAGCACCCACACAGCGACTGACGGGCTGACAGACAGAATGGATGGATGGATGGATGAGAGACGTTGCTGCCGTGTACAGAAAGGATCGGCGGCGGACAATGCTCGTGTGATGGGCAGCCGTGTCGAGAGATGCATTCATGTGTGGGTGTGAGAATGTCGATACCTGAGATGACAATCGCAGCTGGTGCACTGATCGGAAATACCGTCCGACTTGTCCATCCATCCATCCAGATGTGTATTAGCGGTCTTCATTCATTCACAACGGACACACACACACACGCTCTGGGCATGTTAGAGGGCAATTCAACGACTCCGTGTGCGACGACGTCCACCCACCCGCCCACACAGCCACGCACGCAAGTCTGACGAAGCTATATACATGCATACACCCACCCACTGGCATAGTGTTGTCCATTTGTCGGTGTGTCGGGAAGCTCCTTCCGTGTCTCACTCGGCATCGGTTGAGGCATCCTCGAGCTGATCGGCTCGCCAGCAGGAGAAGGCCTCAACCTATGCTGAGTGAAACGGGAAGACGCCATCCAACAACGCCCCATAACACGGCACTTAGCGCACGCAGAGACCGTATGAATGCACAGGCCAAAGAAGAAAAACCACGGCCAAACAGATCACCACGGACAGACAGATGGGCGTCTATTCACAGTCAGTCGTCAGGCAGGCACACACCAGACCACACCATGTACTACCAACACCCGCCAGCCAACACGCACAGCGGGACAGACAGGCAGAGAGCGGTGCCGTGTTGCTTGTGTGCCAAGCTGGCAAAGCACACCGGGCTCTCACCTTCAGACAGACAGACAGGCAGACCGACGGACAGACATGAAGCGACTCCTCCAGCCCCCCCCCTCCCTCTCTCCCTCTCTCCCTCTCTCCCTCTCTCCCTCTCTCCCTCCCTCTATTCCTTCTTAGTTGATGCCCAGCGACACGAAGCAGCCCGGCTGGTCGATGTAGCCCAGCTGCCCCCACCGAAACCGGCAGTCGGTGTCGCCCAAGTGGCTGTTGAAGCCCTTGACGACTCCGCGCACCCTGTATGCGGCTGCCTCGTCCAGACGCGCCCGATGCACCACCTCGCGCACGCCGAGACGCCTGTGAGGATGCCGTCCTCCTCCGTGGATGGCGAAGCACTGCAGTGCCGGCACGCGCACCGTCAGCCCGCCCTGTCCAGCCCCCGTCACACCCCTCAGACGATTCCACCACCGAAGCAGCGCCCCCTCCGGCCGTCCGCCCTCGCCCTTCTCGGTCTTGCCCACCACCTCCCGGTTGCTGGCCGTCCTGGTGGCCGCCTGCTTGACGAAATGGTCGACGGCGGCACTCACACGGCGCTTGAGCCGCGAGTCGCCGATGAGGTACTCGTCGATGACGGCACGGGCAGCCGACGGGTCGTGGAGAAATGCGCCGATCTTCCAGGCGATGGATGTGGCCTCGCACGGACCGAATGTGAGGTCGCGGGGGTCGCGGTGGGGTGGCTCGCCGTGGTGCTTGTAGGTCAGGCGACACGTCTCGCCCTCCACCGGCTGATCCGTGCCATCATCGTGGTGCGGCACCATGGGCAGCAGGCAGCCGATGCGGGCGGCGATGTCGCGCTGCGGCTCGAGGGCGGCATTGATGGCATGCTCCACGACTTGCGGCAGCTCGTTGAGCATCACCGCATACTCCTGCAGTATCCGGGCCCGGTCGAGCTGATGTTGTGGGGTGTCGGCGACGGACGCGCCGTGACGCAGGAGAGTGCGGATGCAGCGCTTGGCGTCATCGATCCTCTCACGGATGATGGGTCGGAGGACGATTCGCAGGAAATCGACCCCTTGTGCCGCCCACGCAAGGGCCGTCATGGGGTTGCCCTGTTGGAGAGCGGTCCGGTGGATCTCGGTCGAAGGGATGCGGTCGAGTAGACACACCACACTCGAATGGTTGCCCGTCAAGGCCGCCTGGTGCAATGGCGACAGCCCTCCGCTCCCACCGACGGAAAGTAGAAAAACTCGATCAGCCTGGGTCAGCGAGGCTCCATGCTGCACCAACATGTCCAGGTATCGGCCGACGAAGCTCCGCGACAGACTGACGCAAGACACGCGGCAGACGCTATGCACTGTCGTGTGTCCGTCGAGTCCCTCTCTCTCGGTGGCGAGGGAGGAGTCGCGCTGCAGCAGTCGGGCAGAGATGTTGAACAGGGTGTCTTCTGCCTCCTCCAGGTTCTCGAAACCAGCGAGAGCCTCCCCGTGAATGAAGGGGAGGCGATTGGAGAGGGGTCTGCTGGGATGGCTACGGACTGCGGCGTTGTGGTCGAGGAGCACTTCGACGGCCGTCATGTTGAGCGAGTCCTTGGCGATGCGGATAGGTACGACGTTCTCGAGTTGCTGTCCGTCGACATGCGCCCCTGCCGAGATGAGCTCATGCATGATGGCGGCCTGCAGCTCTCGCGTCGGCCACACAGGCAGTGTGATTGATCCTGGCCAGCGCAGACGAAACACACCCAGGGGCGAGCAGCTGCTCCTGGTGTCGATGGCGAGAGAGAGGATGCTTTTCCGATGAGTTCTGGGTCGCATCGACACTTGGGCAATTGCTTGCACTTGGGTAGCTCGGACCGTCTGCGTAATCAGGACATTGACATCAGCACCAAGACTGATGAGCCGCCGTACGCCGTCGAGGCTGATGTTGCGGAGCAGAATGCCAATCACGAGGTCTCTGGTGGGCTGAGTCGCATTGTCGGGCAGGTGGATGCCGTCCCCCTCAATGATGGCGGCGTATGGTCTGTTGGCGTCGTCGGACGTCCGACCCAAGAGTATGAGGGCGTCGTCGGGCGTCCGAGCCAAGAGTATGAGCGCGAGGATGAGGGCAATGGTGTTGAAGAATGGGCTCAGGAGAATGTCCATCACCGACTCAACCCCAACACCACCCCACCCTGAGCACACATCTGGAACGGAGAAGCACACACACGGAGAGAGGACAGGATTCGGGGTTCTGCCATTGCTTTGCTGTGCTTGTATCGCTTCTTACAGAGGAGTATGGCGATGATCAGTCTTGCATGCGCGACCATCACGCCAGCGACATTGAGAAGGGGGAAGCTGGCATGACGACGAACACCGCGGAAGGCACACGCGAGGAGGCGTATGGCGTCAAGAAGACCAAGCACTATCAGAGCCCCAACACCAAGAGTCTCCATCTCCCAGTGCGTGTGGGTGTCGCTATGGGAGGGACGAGTAGACGAGCTGTGCTGCAGCACGGGCACCACACCACACCGCACCACAGCCTAGCTGAGTGTAGGCAGTCACACGCCGGTGATGTGGATCAGTCTGCTCACACACACGCAGAGGTGCAGTGGTGCACAGTCGTATCATCCCTCTCTGCCGGCGGGCGTACCCTGCAATGTGTGTGTTATCGCTCCACTCCTCCCGGCTATGCCTCCTCTCACCCACGGTCACTGTGCACGATCAACGACGGCGCACGGGCTGCCGCTGATGCTCAACGCTGGCTGATGGATGCAAACACACAGACAGACGGACAACAAGAGAATGATGAATGTGTACGATGATCCATTCATTCACTCGTGGTTGTCAGCCTCAATGCCTTGCTGCGCCACGGCTGCTGCTCACCTGTTCAGCGTTCGTTCAAGAGGTCTCAAGCGGCTCGAAGGCAAAGCAGCCGCCGCAACCTGCCCATCATTGCCCTTCTTCCCTTCGGCTCGCGACGAGTTGGGCATTCCGTGAAACCGCGCCCTCGAGAGCTGAGGAGGGGGAATCCCCACAAACACATGGATGGGTGAGAGGTGGTGTGTGGGTGCAAATCACCGCCCTTCCTTCATTCCTCGTCGATTGTGTGTGTGTGTGTGTGTGGTGCCCTCTCTTGGCGCATGCACGCACCTATCTGCTGCCTGGCTGCCGGCCAGGCCATGTGAAGTTGACTTACACGGAAGCATGGGCGACGTCTGGCCATGTCATTCCGTCCACTCTCTCACTCACAGACAGACGAGCTGTACACATCAGGTCGCCATTCGCCCCCGCCCCTCTGCCTTTCCCCTCTCCCTCCCTCCGGCCCTCTCCTTGTTTAGTGGCGTGTGTGACTCTCGCTATTACATCCACTTACATACATCCCTCAATCCATCCACGATGAACGAAGAACAGTGTGGTGGGCTGTGCATATGGCTCAGTGAGTGTTCCGGCGGAGAAAATGTGGGTTGGTTCGAGACCTTCACAGCAGGCCAAGGGTCAATCCACCCAGCCACCCGTATCAACACAGAGCTCCGTCCGTCACTTCTGTCCTCTTGCAGCTTCCCGCTATCTACCCATCCATCCATCCGTCTATCTCGCTACCCCGTCCACCCAGTCAGTCAGTCAGTCAGTCAGTCAGACCCCGCCGACTCCTCGGTAGCCTCGGAGCCCTCCTCCCTAGTGGTCTCCCCACCTCCCCTGTCCGGCAGGTCCACGGCCTGCGTCGGCTCATCCTCACCCTTATCTCTCTCCTCACCGGCCCCACTGTCCCTCGCACCGGCACGCATCGTCATTGGGACCGACATGGTGTGGGGCATGCGGGAGCTCGAGTAGCTTAGGGGGTCGGTCTTGTACTGCAGGGGGATGTAGGAGTAGCTGGTGGCGGGGATGAAGGACATCTGCGGGCTGGGCTGTGCGCTGAAGTAGAAAGGGGAGGGGGCCAAGTGGAGGGGGGGCGGGTAGGCGTCTGAGTCGGGGAGGCTGACGCCGTCGCCGCCGCTGCTGTTGCTGCTGCTGGTGTTGGTGAGAGGGGAGCTGGGGGAGAACGTCATCTCGTGACGCATGCGCTCCTGCTCGAGCTGCTCCATCATGCGCCGCCTGAAGTCCTCCTGGTCCGACAGATACAGCTGCCGATAGCGATGCCTAAGCGGCACGCCAGTCCTGTCACAACACCACACACCACACACACATCGATGCAGCAGAGAGTGAAGGACACCATCCAGCTCATCTCGTGTGAACGGAATTTTTTGCTCACACAGGGGTTGAGGGCGGCGGCCTGATGCCGCGGTCCTTCGGTCCGAAGTCCCCGACAGTGTCTGGCGAGCCGGCCGTCAGCCACCATGCCGGCTGCTTCCACGAGGCCAAGTCATGGTCCTGACAGGACAGGCAGGCATGAAAAAAGTCATTCTGATGCCATTCCATGAGTCGTTTCTCTTGCTGGTGGCTTACCCCTGCGACGCTGTTGCTGAGGCTGTGCTTGACTCGGTCAACGGGGTCACACGGGGCGAAAGCCATGAAGGAACCTAACGACGCGGGCACGAAAGGGAAGGCTTCTCTCGTGAGAGCCCTCGCTTCTCAGCAATTGCTGCTCGCGCCAGAATGAGCGAGCGGTTTGTCGCGCCCAGGAAAGGCATGCAAGCTCACAATGGCTAAGCTCGCGTTTTTCAAAGGGAGAGAAAGGGGAACAGACGAGTTCCCTGTTGCTTTGTTCGGGATCTACCGCTTTTCGCAGCGAAACTGCGCTTTATTGATTGATGCTCGCAGATGGCAGATCTTGTGACGCTGACTGTGGTTGTGGCTGTTGGAGCGGGCCTGTGGATGGTGGCCGAGAGGGCGCCGAACATCATCAATGACGGATCCGGGCTGCCGGGCCCGCTGTCCTTCGACACCTTATGGCGCTCATGCCACCTCATCCACTACCACATCTGCAGCGGGCGGCTTCCCATCATCGCCACGCTCCTCGGCCTCTTGCCCTGGCTGTCCTTGGTCGTCGTGTGGCTCTTACACATCGACCATGCCGACGTGTGCGTTGACCAGACCACGCCCATGGCGACAAAGTGGTGGAAGTTCGCAGCGTCCCTGGCGTACTTTTCCGACTACTCGTGGTTTTATTGGGTGTTTGTGGCGCCGCTGTTGTGCTTCTGGGTCGGTTTCTGGCTGTACGACATTGCCGGCACTAGCGAGTGGATGGCGTTGCTGCACCTGGTGTTGATAGCGGCCGGGACTCAGATGACCAAGGTGTGGCTCTTCGGGGGCCTTTGCTCGACGGGTTTCGACACGGTGCTGTTTGCCATGCTGGCATACATCTGTCTGCACAACCCGGTGAGCGAGCAGACAGACAGACACGGACTGATGTGCATAGTTAATTGCCTTCTCCCGTGTTTGTATGTGTTCAGCGTGTGTATCCGCAAGGGCTGCGCAACAACCCCTACGCCCGTCTGCTGCCCTTCAACATCGAAGTGCGGTGGCACACCATCATCCTCATGCTGGGCCTCGTGTGGCTGCCGATGCTGTTTCGCGGGTCGCACCACTTGTGGCGGGTATCTCAGACGGCCGGGGGGCTGCTGGTGGGGGCGATTCTCTTCTGTCGGTCACCTGACAACCTCGCCCAATTGTGGCAGAACACGGTGAGGGAGAGGGGAAGCAGGTGCTTGCGTGGTTCGTGGCGTGTGTTGGATGTCTTCATTCTCTCCGTTTGTGTGTGCAGACTGTCAAGTCTCTTGTGGTGCTGGGACACGTGGCCGTCCTCTGCCTTTCGGCGTGCCAGCTCCCCTTTGCCCTGCTGAAAGCGCCGACATTTCATGCACTCCTCACGCCCGAGATACTAACCTACCGATGGTGAGAAGCCAGCAACGAGGCTACGTACACGTGTGCCGGCCTTTATAGTGTCGTGTTCTGGGTGGTTTGCTTATAGGTGGGCGAGGAACACCCATGTGTGGCCGCATCACTCCCTGCTGAGGTTCACTGTCAAGCAGCCTGAGCAGCAAGAGCCGTCCGAGTGGTCGATGTGCACGCTGTCGGTGGCGCTGTTCGGCGTCTGTGCCATGCCGTTTGTCCCCTTGCGCCACCAGTGGCTCTGGCGGGTGTGGGCGGGGTTCCTGGCCGTCACCATGATGGACGCCATGTCGTCACCACATGTAAGCTAAGCTGAGCAAGCAGCCAGTGATCATTACGGCAGGTGGGAAACGCGCCTTCTTGTGGCTGTGTGCGTGCCTGCCTGCCTGCACTGGCTGCAGTATGTGTGCCCTTCTTGGGGATGGGCCTTCTGTGCGGCTTCGGTCATCTCCTACTTGTTCTGGCTGCCACCGTTCCTGCACAAAGCCAAGACACGCTGAGCATACGCAGAGAGCACCTCTGTGCACAGACACACGATAAGGCGGGCTGCTGGCTGCTGCTGCACCCTTTTTCCGTGGGACTTAATGGCCGCCTGTTGTGGCCAGATGATTAGTAGATTACTGGGATAGTGAAAGGGTGGATGGGTGGTCAGTGGCTGGGAGCAGGCCGGGTGATCTGGGTGTGGATCAGCTGCAGATGAGATTTGCCCTGCGGACGACAGCCCTTCTTCTGTCGAAGCCATGACAGATCGGCTGGCGTTCGCATAGCAAGTGCTCATCTGTAGACATGCCCAGTCATAGTAGGATCGATAGTCGGACTCTAATTAAGAATGGATGCTTTCTTCGTGCGTTGTGAATGCATTATTTGTTCGATGCATGCATGCAGACGCCGTCCCCCACAGGCCCCCCAGGTCTCGAAATCGCCGAGCAGCACACTCATTGCTTGTCGTCAGTTGTGCCCTTCAGCAGCTGACAGGCAGAGGCAACCGCACCGGGCAATTTGGCAGACTCTTTTCTCGGGCCCCTCCTGTAACTCTATCCCCTCCGTATTCGGCCTCGAAGAGGCCTACCTGTCTCTCCCCCGCCATCATGTTTCGTTCCATCCCGTGCGCCAGCAAAATCTGCAGCAAGAAATGGAAGGAGGAGGACCAGGAGAGGCACGAACGACGACTCAAGGTACGTATGATGATGTACTCGTGTGGATGTACATACGCAGTGGAATGTCCGAGTGTGAACGGGATGCATGGGGTGCACCCAGGGCATGAAGGGGTACATCGACAACGAGGAGCCCACCCGCCCCACCTTTCTGCTGTCCAACCGCAAGCGGGAGATAATGCTCGAAGAGCACTACGCCGCAATCGACAGGGAAAACAAATTCCTACTCAGGTGCGTGGGGGAATGGGTGACTGGCTGTCTGTCGGGGCCTCTCATGGTCGTGTCTTTCTCTGCCTGGCGTGCAGGCGCATGGCGGAGATCATGCGCAAGCCCACCTTCAGTGCCATCCGCAGCGTGCCCGGCCCCGTCTCCCTCAACCGTGAATATCGCAAGAAGGAGGTCGGCCGCATCACACACGAGAACCACCGGCTGCTCAAGCGGCTCGAGAGGGTGCGGCCCGTCTACAACCACAGGGAGTGGGTGCAGGCCGCCGTCGAGCAGGAAAGGTACCTTAACAACATATGCGAGTTCCCCGTGACGCTCGGCGCCCGCAAGCCACGGGAGGCGGTGAGGCTGCCGCCATTGAAGCCCCACCACACGACGGTTGAGGGTGGGATGGCACAGACGGATGGCATGGCGAGTCACCGGTGGGTACAGAGTGAGCCCAGCAGTGTGATGAAGGCGGGAATGGTGGGCGGCCCCTCGGCCGCATCGACGCAGAAGAGGGCCAAGAAGAAGGCAGGCGAAGCGGGACCACGGTAACAGGCCGCTAGGGATGCATGCGCTTTCATGACGTCATGTCTCTGCCGTCTGTCTGCATGTCTCTGTGCTTGTTTGGTTGCAGGCGCGTGCTGAAAGAGGGCCGCAAGCTGGATGGCCGCTTCTACCTGATTGAGTTCCTGGTCGACGGCCGCACCCTCACCATCACCGCCGACTCGGAAGAAGCCCCCTCACCCACCCTGCCCCCCTCCCTCGCCCATCTCGAGCTCATCCTTGACGAGAAGACACACACAAAGGCGCTTGCAGAGTCTCACAACAGCTACAGCGCCATAGCCAAGCGGCTGGCCATCAAGAGCGACGGGACGCTCTATCTGGCGGGCACTGCGGCTGCCGCGGGAGCGAAGCTGAAGAGGCCGGCTCCCAAGTCGACTTTGTTGACGGCTGACCAGATGGTGCGGCGGTCGTTCGAGCGAGAGGGGACGCCGGATGTGGCGAGCAGGTTTATGTTTGGCATGGCAGTGGATGATGAGGGCGCTGTGGATGTGGCCATGAGGGGCGTGACGCCGTCCACACCTGGCTCTGTCAAGTCTGGGGCCGCGTGAGTGAGCGAGTGAGGTGCGGTGAGGTGCGGTGAGGTGGGGAGCAATGACGCTTGCTTTGCTGCAATGGTTGCGTATGTATGTTGATAGACATCGTGTTGCTTTCCATCACTAGATGGACGGCTTTGTATGTGTGTGGATGGGATGGACCTGAAGGCAGGCAGGCATATGTGCATTGCAGCAATGGCTTGCCTTGCCGCGAAGAAACTTCATCCATTCTCATTTATGTAAGTAATTGCATAAAGCTCCACAAACATACAGAGACACTGAGCATTTCCTACTCATGGTCCGAAAAAGGCATTGAAGGCACGAATGGGTGTCAGAGGGAGTCACAATCTGCCTGTGTCCACACAATCTACAACAAAGCACCTCACCCCTTGTCATACCCCCCCCTGGCGCTAGGGGGTGTGGTAAGGGTATGTTGGCGTCATGCTGCTGGGCACCCACGCAGGGGGCCCTCCGTAGTCGTGTTGCTGAGAGTAGCTAGGGTAGAATGTCCCCTCGGGAGCGAAACCCTTGTTCCACTGACCATCGAAGAGGATGCCGTATCGCTGTCCATTCTCCCACTGGCCCTCATACAGCTTGTTGCCATTCTGATGGTAGCTGGTGCCGTGGCCATGAGGCTTGCCGGCAAGCAGTGGGCCAGTGTATGTGGTGCCGCCCCCCAAGGGCATCTTGTCGGCTCTCCCCTCGCCCACCATCTGCCCACTTGCCCACTGGCCTTTGCGTGCGCCGCCGTTCGACCAGTATGCTGTGCCAGTTCCTTGACGGCAGCCCGCCATCCAGTCTCCCTCGTATACCTTGCGGCTCCCGTCCAGTGTCCGCAGCACGCCACTGCCGTGAGGTTTGCCGTCCTGCACGGTGCCGTAATACAGTCCGCCACTCCACACGATCGTCTTGGGGACGAGCGGGCCAGCGTCATTCTCCTTCTGACGAGCCAGCTCAGTCGCAAGCTCCTGGCTGCGTGCCTCCGCCTGATGACGATGCTGCTCCGCCTGATCGTGCCTCTGCCGATAGGCATCACGCTCAGTCTTCAGCTCATCTCGCTCTGCTAGGTACTCGTCCCTCTGCCGCTGCACCTCCGTCCTGAGTGCCGATTCCCTCGCCAGCTGGGCCTCGAGCAGCCTCATGTGGGCCTCCGCGTCTCGATCGCGTTGCTCTGCCGCCTCCAGCCGTCGCTTGTAGTCACCGAGCTCACCCCTCAACTCATCGCGCTGCCTGGTGAGCTCCTCGATGAGCGCCTGCTGCGTGTGGCGGTGGTCTTGGGAGAGGGAGAGGAGCACATCGGCGTCCATCGTCACTACTGATGGCGACGCACCTTCCGAGAACACCACCGACATGAGGAAGATGCGAAGATGCAGCCTGAATTCCAAAGAGGATGACAGAGGAAGATGATTTCGGCTCACTGGGAGTCTTTGCGGGCCTCTGTGCATACCTGGTGTGCCCTGTTGTTCAGCAACTCTTTGCGGGCTTGCCGGGGGCATTCCGTGAAACTGCTCGGGGGGCAGAAGGGCAGAAGGGCTGATGAAAACTACGTCAGCGTGCCTCTTTGCAATGACCGTCACCATCTGGCTGCTGCTGGGGTTCGTTTCTTGCCGGTGCATGGCGTCATGGAATGGTCCCGCCGTCGAAACGGCGAAGGAAGATGAGCGTGACGGAAGGAGCCTCGTCGCATTTTCTCCTTCCATCGCGGCAACCTTGACTGTGGCGACGTTATCCTACAGGTGTGAACGCACAAGAAAGGTTTCCTTGGTCTGATCAGCTGTGTCTGTGTGACATGATACAGGTTGGTCTCCAGTGCAGTCAGCCAGCTCTTCATCGAGTTCGTCGAGAACATCCACAGGACGGAACTGGGGAGCCGGCTGGGCATGCAGAAAAACATCCGGTACCACCTTCAGGACAAGATAAACAAGAGGCTCAACATCAAGCCTCCAGCAGAGCAAGTGAAGCGGCCCGGCCTGGTGAGATTCGAAACGACTCTCTACCGAGACGTCCCCGGCCTCTCGGAGCACCTCTACACGTGTCCCAAGACGAATATGAGGAAAGACATATGGGAGAAAGCTGCCTTGAACGCCATGCGCATCAAGGTATGCCACCCAAACGACACAAATTGTAAGCTACTCCCCTTGGTCTCGGTATCTGTGGGTTTGTCACAAGGGCCGGGAAATGTTCTGGACCTGGCAGGCGGGCAGGAGTATGGCCAACACCGACGTGGGGCGGAGGCATGCAGCAATGCTGCAGAGGATGAAAGAACGGAATCTTGAGACCCCACAGCAGAGTCGACGTAAGCTCTCTTGCTGCAGGTCGGGGTTGTTGGTTTCCCTCCATCCTTGATCCCATGTGAATGATGCAGGTCTCCTGTTCGCCGTCATCGAAGCGACGCCCCTGACCGGCTGGATCGACCCCGAAAAGATAGCGGCCGACGCAAAAAAGCACAGGCCGCCAGCAACAAGAAAGCAGCGGAGAGGGAAAGCCCGCCGGGCTTGGGAAGCAGAGGACATCTACAGTGGCGAAAAGAGCAAGCCTGACATCGACATGGATACTAAAGCATGGGAAGCGGAGGATGTGCCCGAGCTAAGGAAACTGCTCTTCGAAATGGACCTGTTCGTCCACGTGTGTCCCGTGGAAGCCACCGAATTCGACCCCGCCCCAACGATGCACCTCTTCATGGCTTTCCGCCATCTCAACCACATTTGGGAGATCAAATGGGAGTGCGAGACGGACACAGGGGACCCAAAAGATGATTACATCTGTCCATTGGCTGTGCTTGGGGCTTTTATGGATTCTCTGGACGCCATTGGATTGAGAGACATGGAAGCGGCGGCCCGGAGTGAAGGGGAGGCGAAGGATATGGATATGCGGCTGTATCGGTGGCTGCGGGCGAGAGTACGCAAGTCGAGCGGGCCTGCGAACATGCCTGATGACCCGAGTGATGCGCTGTGGGATGTGGTTTGGGAGAGATTCATGCGAGACACACAGAAATATGACGACATGGATGGGCTGCTGCTTGAATGACCGAAAGGTGAGATGAGTGGGTGAGAAGCTGACACATTGATTGACGTAAAACGATACACGCACTGATGAAGTGTCTCACGAAACACCCGCCCTCCTGCCCTGCCCATCCATCCATCCATCCGTCCACTCATCGACCTGTCTGTATCTGCCTGCATCGCGTCGGTCCATGATCGATCAGCCACAGCATCAGCGGCCTTAGAGGCTGCATTGAGCCGTCACCGGCCTGAGACGCGCCATTGGGCGCCATCTGGCTCGTATCGTCTGCCTGGCTGTCACACGCTGTGGATGGAAATGAGCTGAGCTGAGGGAGGCACGCTACCTGCTGGCTGACCTTCAATGCAATATCTGCATGTGTCTATCTTTCTACAGGGTCGGACGGCACACGAACAGAGAAGTGTATGTGGCTGGCTGGACGGGCATGATGACGCCCCACAGCCGTGCCACGCCATGCACCCACGAGCATACACACATAAAAGCAGGCAGACACCGACTTATATAGCACATCACACAGGCATCCACGCACCCCCACACACACATCCGAGAGGAGGGAGTGGCGAACGAGGGCGACGGAGAAAACCCTGGCTCGCCTCTCTCACTTGCGAATGTACGTATACATGCACACGCATCCATCCATCCATCGTGGGATGAAGGGAGGGACGGGAGGTCAAAAAGAAACGTGCGAGACAGAGGGAAAAACGAGTAGTTGATGAAATCCATTGGAGGCAGACAACCAGGTGGGTGGGTGGGTGGGTGGGTGGGTGGGCAGGCGGGAGGGCTGCCTGCTAGCGATAGACATCAGTCATGCGCATGTACACATACAGACAGACATGTATGCGATCGACGATATGTATGTAGCGTCTCGCTCACTCTCTCTCTTGTCTCTGTCAGTCAATGAAACACGAACACGGAAAAAAGCCAAGCCAAGAAGGGAGGCAAAACGGTCCAGTCGACGCACACACATACGACACCTTCTCTGCACTCAGCGACCGATCAAAGCAATACACACATACACAGACACACACATACATTCACACACATACATGCACACATACATACAGACCTATGGACAAACCCATAAACATATCGATGTGCCTTCCCTTCTGTCTTATCTCATGTCATCTCATCTCTCGTCTATCACTCGTGGGAGTCTCTGGTGACCCGAGGGCAGCCTTCGTACGACGCCAACGCTCAAACGGCGATTGCGGGGAGGGCTGCGACTGTCGGGCAAGGACTCCCACGGACGGACACAGGAAGGAATCACTCACGACAAACATGCGATGGATGGCGGTGGACGCGCTGGGAATCGTGCCGGGGCGCCGGTCCGCCGGATTAGATGGAGTAGTCGCCGGCGATACCCGCGATGTTGAGCGCCAAGTTCGCGATTTGGGAGAGCTGCACGCAAGACAGAGACAGAGACAGAGAGAGAGACGGTGATCAATTGGCCACTTGTGCTGCAGTGTGTGTAACTAAACGGATGGATGGATGGATGCATCTTAGAAAATCACGGGCACACATGGACGTGTGTGTGCGTGCATGCGTGAATGGATGCGGTTACCAACCATCCCTCCATCCCTCCCCTTTGGCTCGCTCCCCCCGTTTTTTCAGTACGGCTTACTCCTTCCTGTGTCTACTGCTTGCGTGCTCCATTGTACCGTACGGCTACGTCTCCCACGGCCAACTTACATCGCTGAATTCGACGTCGCTCGCCAGCAACGAGTCTAGGAAACCCGCCAGACCGCTAGGCGCCTTGGGCATCATTGACGAAACGGGGAGAGTGCTGCTAGTGCCGTCCTGCTCACCCTGGCCTAGCTGCTGCTGCTGGCCCGACTCCGTCTTGTTGCCCTTGATCAGCCCGGTCAGCCCGGCTGAGGCAAGGTCGGAGAAGACGTTGTCGGTGGCGAGGCTGCCGAGGTCCTGGACGGACGTCTCCTTGACCACGGTGTCGACGAAGTTCTGCCGCCGCTCTTTCTTCTTCTCTCTCGCCCAGTCGGAGGCGTACTTGTAGCCCTCAGGACACGACCACATCACCTCTGACCGGCGCTGAAGAGGCTGAAGGCCACGGCCGCGACGACCGCCAAAGCGGGGATACCCTGAGGAACGATGAGACAACACACAGGGAGGGAGGGAGGGATGGTGGTGCGTTGGGGGGGAGAGAGGGGGGTGCAGGGGTGCTTACTTTGTCTTGGTAGTGCTCCGCCCATGGCCTGCATAACCTGTGGGCAGACCTTGGGTCCGGAAACGACGCCTCCGCTCTGTGTACGTCCCGCGTTGGAGGCCTTGAGCTCACACAGGCTCCTTTCGGCACGGTAAGAGAAGAAGTCGCACCCGGGGTCCTTCCGGCACGCCTGCTGGCAATCGGCCACTGCCATGACGCCGTCGGTCGTCCGGATGTCCCACCCCTGGTACTCGACGTCTCGCTCCAGGCACTTCACGGCACCAGCACCAGGGGCACCGGCACTGGCAGCCGCGAGCATCTGAGCCATGGCTTCTCTCTCTGCCTGTTGCTGCTGGATGCGCTGATGGGCCGGGCAGAGAAGGCCGACGCATGATGCTGATGGTGCGCCTGCCCCAAGGGCGGAGACGGTGCCGTGGGTGGCTGCTGTTGCTGTTTGCAGTGGTGAGCGGAAGAGTGATGATGATGCTGAGGGGACGGCAATGGCCCTGCTGCAGTTGTAGCGGCCCCGCTCGGGCTCCAGGTCCATGCAGCAGTTCTCACGACCGCAGATGTTGGGATTCATGGCGCACTCATTCAGATCTACAGACACATCACATGGAGACCATCCTGTGTGTCTGATCGGTCGGCAGGAAAAGCTGTGAGAGAGCGTACTGATGCAGGTGACTCCGTCTTCCGCCCCTTGGTATCCCAATTCGGCACTGCACTCGCAGCGGTAGCTCCCCACCGAGTTGACGCACTTGTGCTGACCGCACTTGTGTGTCCCCGCGGTGCACTCGTCGATATCTGCACCATGCCACACACCAGCCGTCATGGGCCACCATGTGCCATGTGTAGTTGGGCGATCACGGGCTCACCGTCACATGCATGGCCGTCGGCGTTGAGTGTGTACCCCTCGTTGCACGAGCAGGTGAAGCCCCCAAGTGTGTTCTTGCACTTCTGCGCACATGCGTTGTACTTGCCGTCCTCGTCCTCACACTCGTTGAGGTCGACGCACGTGCCGTTGAGCGCCGCCTTCATCGTCTTGTCACCACAGTCGCACCGATACGTGCCTGTATCAATCAAGCCGATGGAGAGAGTGAGAAGTGCACGTGGGTGAGAGAGGCGTTTATGGTCGGGTACCAGGTAGGTTGGTGCATGTACTATCGCCACCGCACGTGTTGGTCAGAGGACTGGCGCACTCGTTGACGTCTGAACGAACCACCCACCCCACATCCGCGTCAATCGATCGCCATCCACCCCTCTCCGTCCCTCCCTGGCTGGCTGTTCACTCACCGAAGCACTTGCCGCCCTTGCCTTTCTCCCACCCCTTTTGGCAGCCGCACTCGAAGGACCCCTCGGTGTTCTTGCACATGGCCCCGTCCTTCTCAGACCCACACGTGTGCGTTCCCGCCTTGCACTCGTCCACGTCTTGGCAGCCGGTGCCCGCCTTCTTGCCGTCACCCTGGAAACCCTTGGGACACTCGCACACCATCTTGCCCACCACAGGCACGGTGAGTGTGCAGTTGGCCGTGGGCACACAGGGATTGTTGAGGTTGCACAGGCCGTCAGTCACCTTGACGTCCTCAGGGATGGCGGGGCGGCGCCCGTTGCGGTTGAGTGGCCCAACACCACCACCAACAACACCACGGCCAACCAGTGGGAGGGCCGAAGTCAGGGGCAGTAGCGATGTTGTTGAGAGAGAGAGCGTGAGCATCACGAGAGAGAGCGAGAGGGGGAGGGGGCGGGAGCGGGGCAGCGGCGATGAAGATGAAGTCGATGAAGAAAGGATCCGGCCGTCGGTGGCCGGACAAAAAATGCGATACATGCAGCTCATCATGCCGAAGCCTCCTGGCCGCTCTGTGCGTTGCTGGGTGTCGGTGCGTGGTCTCGGCGAGCGTGGAGAGCCTCCTTTTCGATAGTCAGCACAGTGGTGTAGTGTGTTCAGTCAGCGATCATCAGAACAGTGCCCTGCGAGCCCTCGTGAGGCCACGCTGTAGCGCACGTACAGCCTCGTAAATTCACTTGGGACGCTCAGCATCCGTTGTGCTGCTGGACGGAGGCTCGGCGGTGGAGCTAGAGCGGCAGGGATATGACCTCAACCACCCGCTGTGGAGCACCCGGCTACTCACTGAGGCAAGAAGAACATTCACAGCACGGATGGATGGACTGATAGATGAGGCACAAACATGCTCTCTGTGCAAAATCTGGCGGCCATCCGTGACGCCCATCTGCGCTTCTTCGACGCAGGTGGGTGTGGCTGTCTGGCTGTTTGATCTGCGCTGTCTGCGATACACCTGCTGACATCGTCCGTGTGAGTGTTTCATTCAGGGGCGGCCGACGTCGCTATCACATCGACTTACCAGGCAATGCGAACACCTGATGACGTATGTGACTGAGATAGATTAGTTAGTGGCCCTGCCTGCACACACACCTGTCATCAAGCGTCCTTCCCGGGCTTCGCACAGCAAGGTACACACCACCCATGCCGTTCGCTCACTGCCTGTCTTTATGTGACGTATGTGTGTTACTGGCAGGTCTGAGCCCATCCGAGAGCCAGGGGCTCTTCCACAGGGCCATCGATTTGGCGGCCGAGGCGCGAGACGTCCATAGGCAGCGGAGGGGAAAGGACGCCGGCAAACTGATTATCGGGTCATGTGGCCCTTCCTGAGGTAAGCGACAACACCCAAATGGATGATGATGATGGCCTGTGTGACTCTCTGATGGTGTTGTGTTGTGTTGTGTTGTGTTGTGTGTGCAGCCTATCTGGCTGACGGGGCAGAGTATCGGGGCAACTATGGCGTCGATCCTGACGTGCTGCGCGACTTTCACCGAGAGCGGCTGGCTGTGCTGTTGGAGACCGGCAAGGTCGACGGCATTGTGTTCGAGACCATCCCCGACCGGACAGAAGCCAAGGCAACAGCGGCACAGCAGCGGTCTGATTGTGGCAGCGAGTCCGTTGTGTGTTTGTCGATGGATGGATGGATGAATGGATGGACGGATGGGTGCCGGGCGGCCGACATGCAGCAATTGCTGCGAGTCCGTCTGTCGGTGTGCGTGTGCGTGTGACATGGACAGAGACAGACATGCATTGGATGCAGTGGACTCGTGGTTCGTCTTGCCCATATCGAGCGAGTCCCTCTGTCTTTCGTTCTAACAGACAGCACACATGATCGATTTCTAGACAGACATACAGGCCCGGCCTATGCACAGAGACAGAACGGATGGATGAAGTCGGGTTCACCGAAAAAGACACGGAGGCAAAGAGGCAGGCAGCCATTTATGTGTGTCTGTGTGTATGTATGTCGCCATCGGTGGCGGGCTGAACACGCTCAGTACACAAGAAAAGTAAAGACAGAGAGGCAGGCCTGCCTGCCTGCCTGCCTGCCTGAGGCGCCGCCATGCTTAAATGACACGGTCAGGTCATCTACTCACTCACACCCACACTCCACGAACTCACTCACTCACTCACTCACACCCATCCTAAGTCTCACTCACGCCGCTGACGCTTGGCTCTCCGCCGGCCGCCCTCATCGTCGTCAGGCCCGTTCTCTTCCGCCTCGCCTTCTGGGCACAGCGGATCTGGACCATGACCCGCCGCCGCCGCCGCCGGTCTTGCTGGTGCCGGTGCGAATGAGGACGGTGATGACTGCTCGGTGGCCGTGGGAGGAGACTTCTGCGCAGCCGCAGCGCCAGCGGCAGAAAAGGACTCACCAGTCCTCACACCCCCACGCCGGCGCTCCAGAATATGGGGTCAGTGGGGAATGGGGGGACGGGAGGGATGAGCGGTGCATTCGGTGGCAGGGGGGCAGCTGGGCCGGGCTCATGAGCTGCTGCAGCTGGCGGCTGCGGGTCGACCGTCATGGGAGGCGGGAGTCCGGCAGCTGCCGCTGCAGCCTCTCCCTCTTTGCCGCCGTCCCTCGGCGGCTCACTATCTCCCTGATCTGCCTGCTGCTGCTCCTGCTCCTTCTCACACCTGTTGCGTCTAGCGGTCCTCAATCTCTGCATCACCTGCTCCTTTGAACCCCGTCAAACAACCGTGAGTATCGTGGGTCCTGATAGGCACACACACACACACACACACACAATGACTTGACCTCTCTGTGTGCTGTCTCTCTGTTGACGGATGGCGACTGATTCCGCTTACTGCTAGCATCCGTTCCCAATCGACAAACGGGCCCTTGAGGCGGCAATTCTCCGCCGCCTCAATCAACAGGTTGTCCTGTCAGTGCACACACACACACAGAGGCTCACCATCCACGCAGGCCGGCCGTGGATGTGTGTGTTGAGCGTGTGCGGGGGGCCTCACATCGTCAGGCGTCCATTTTTTCGGCTTGGAAAAGTCAGGGACCCTGCCGGTGGCCGTCAGGGAGTAGTAACGATTGATCACTCTCTCCTTTGAGCGATGATGTCCTCAACATCTTCGAGCATGGCTTCATCAACGTCAGCCTGACAGATGCAAACCGTCACAAGGACACGAAGGATTTATTTGCACGGGTGTCATCTGCACAGGTTTTACCGGAATGTCTACGTCTCCCTCGACATGCCCTTGCCCCTCCATCTCCTTGTCCTCATCGGGTGGCGACGCAGCGGCTGCAGCAGCGGCAGATGACGGTGGGTCTCTCTTGCGCTTGACGTGCTGAAGCAAGAACGAGATCAGCGCCCTTTTTTGATGACTGCAGAGCTCCTCACCCTTGCGAAGCCGGCGTAGGCCTGCAAGGTTCCACGAAAGCCGCTTTCGGCCAGCGCCTCGTTCTGCAGCTTCCGTGCGAGAAGGGCAGACGGATCCTCTGTCAGTTCGGTGTTCTCTGACTCGTCGGTCAGATCGATGCAGGCAGCAGATGATCCTGACATCGCACACCACTCCCCGGCGAGAGATCTGCAATACAAACACACAGGCAGAAAAAGAGACAGACAGACACACTGAGGGATCTCTTGAATGGCGGCAGTGTTTTTGTCACACCTCAGTATCAATTCCTGACCACGGAAGCTTGGTCTGCGGAGTGTGAATGCTTGCCGGAATGCTCACCGTGAAACAGATATCACGCGAGACGTCCATAGGCAGCGGAGGGGAACAACCGCCCCTCGGGCCAAAAGTCTCGACTTCCGGCGTGCGGCCTTCTGAGGACAATTGGATGTCAGCGGTCTTGTAGTCTAGTGGTAGGACACTGGATTCTGATGCGTTTCGCAGGACATTCCAGTAGCCCAGGTTCAATTCCTGGCAGGACCTCTTTTGCCTCACGGTATGTCTGCATGGGATGATCCAGATCACGCCTCACTTTCGTCGTACTCGTGTTGTGCTTGCATTACGCAGCCGCAGGACCACAAAATCAACGTCGTCCCTTCCTCCTTCGTCAGCGAGCTTGCCGAGCTCGCGATCAGGGGAAGCGGAGGTGCTCCAACCCGAAACAAGGACCTTATCGTGCTTTTGGGGCAGTCGAGGGCGATGGTGAAGTGGTGAGGGGATCGAACGAGAAGATCTCGAGCAGATCTCCCCTCCCACCCGTTGCTGTGCTGCCCTGACCCCTCCCGCCCCTCCCGCCTCACACAACAACCATGGCGCTCGTCTGTGGCATCTCCGGCAACCCGCCTGAAGACCCGGTGGCCACCAAGCATGGCTGCATCTTCGAGAGAAGGCTCATCGAAAAGCACCTCCAGAACGAACACACGTGCCCTGTGACCAAGGAAGAGCTCACTGTGGAGGACCTCATACCCATCAAAGGTGAGAGGAGGGGCAGGCAGGGAAGGGTATGTGAGAGTGGGCGTGAGGGTGTGATCGATGCCATGTTGCTGACCGGTGTGTCTCGAGAGAGCGAGTGGGAATCGTCACAGAGACATCAGTGAGATTAGGCCATCGCGGGCTGATTGGGCCGTGTGTGCGTACCTGTGGTGTCATGGCTGATTCGTATGGATCTGCACACTCGCAAAGTCGCTAATAGAATCGACTGTCTGTGTTTGTGCGTGACTGATTTGATGACTCAGGCAACAAGGCGGTGAAGCCCCGGCCTGTGACGGCGTCGAGCATTCCTGGCATGCTGAATCTCTTCCAGACCGAATGGGATGCACTGATGACGGAGACCTTCCAGCTCAGAATGCACCTGGACACTGTAAGCACCCACACACCAGCCACCAACACACGTGTCAGTCATTGTGTGTGTGTGTGTGTGTGGATATGACAGGTTCGGAACCAGTTGAGTCACAGTTTATATCAGCACGACGCCGCGTGTCGTGTGATCGCCAGGCTGATGCGCGAGAGGGACGCTGCACGGGCACAGGTGGGGCAGCTGCAGCAGCAACTCGCAACGGCAAGAGTCGGTGCTCCATCCGACGATGAGGAGCCTGGTATGCACGCAGACACGCGAGCATAAACGCGGCCTGCCGTTGACATCACTTATGTGTATTGGTATTGGTGTCGGTTGCAGGTGTGAGCGAGGCGATAGTTCACGAGATGGAGGCGTTGGCCAAGCAGCTCAAGCCCACGAGGAAGGGGAGGCAGTTTCCGGACCTCACACCCCCCGACCAAATCAAGTCAACACCCACACCCACACACGTGTATCCGTGGGCACTGCACGTTGTATGTGTACGCACGTGCCTGCGGACAGGGCGTATACGTGTGCGGGCCACTACCCAGTCCACTCCGCTGCCCCCCCTGGTATGCACAACCGGTCAACCGACCGACCGATGGATGGATACACAAACAAGGGGACGGATCAACGGACGGACAGAGGAAAAGGGGCTCTCTTGGATGGATGGATGGATGGATGGCTCCGTCGTGACTGGACTCGCGCATAGCTCGACTGTCCTTCTGATGAATGCATGGCCCGATGCGCACGCGTCGATTGGCATTCATCTGGTTGCCTTTGCTGTGTCAATGATGTGTGTGTGCAGGTATATTGTGTGTGGACATGGACGAGAGCAACCGCATCGTGACGGGAGGTGTGGACGCCCAGGTGGTGGTGTTCGACACTGCCGTTGGCAAGACACTCGCCAAGCTGCACGGACACCAACGGAAGGTCAACCAGGTCGCCGCAGACCCCAAGGGATCGTTCGTCCTCTCTGTGTCCGACGACAAGACGGCCAGGTACAGGGCAAAAGCAGATGGATTCGTGGTCATACCCCGACAACATGCGTGTGTGGGGTGTGTGTAGATTGTGGTCTGCGAGTGAGGATGAGGGCGGCCTGCAGTACAAGAACGTTCACACCATCCGGAAACACAAGGCAGAAGTTACCGGTGAGCACACACAACCTGCCATTGGATTCTTTCTGACGATCGTGCCCACACCGTTGTTGTGTTGTGGTCGTGTGCAGGTTTAAGTCTTCATCCGCTGCGTGACTACTTCGTGACGTGCGGCAAGGACGGCGTGTGGGCCTTCCACGATCTGAGAGCAGGCAGGTGCCTCAAGTCATTCGAAGACCTCAACACAACGGTCAGGCAGCCCAGCCACCCCAACACACATACATGTCCACCCTATGGAAAAGCGTGTGTGTGTTTGTGTGTGTGTGTGTGTGTGTGCGTGTGCAGTTGTCGTGTTTGACGTTCCATCCGGACGGTGTGATCATGGCTGGCGGCGGCATCAACGGTGTGGTGTCCATCTACGGCATGCAGCAGATGGACGTCATCGCCACACTCGAGGGAGAGGTGAGCCAGGGACCAACATGCTGTCACACACCTGTTCATGTAAGTGCGTGTGTGGTGCAGTCGTGTGTGACGAGCATCGCCATCTCCGAGAATGGCTACTTCCTCGCCACGTCAGCCCAGTCGGGCGAGGTCAGCATCACGTCCGCTTAGTCGTGACGGCGATCCGACTGCACCTTTGGTGTGGTTGTGCAGGTCAAGTTGTGGGATTTGCGCAAGGCATCATGTTTCCAGACCATCCCCGCTGAGGAGGGCAGACCGGTCAACCGTGTCATGTTCGACCACAGCGGTCAGTCATCACACACACACACTGCTATGCGACCACACACAGGGCACATGCGACGTCTCTCTCTGTGTTGTATGTGTGCGTGTGCAGGCCAGTACCTGGCTGCGGCTGGTTCTCGTCTGGCGGTGCATCACTTCGAGAGCAAAACCAGCCTGGCGCCCGTCACGACGTTCGAAGACCACACAGCCGATGTCACCGACGTCAGGTCAGTTAGACACACACACAAACGAGCCAGGATGCATTGCATTAGCTCATGGGCTTCTGTGTGGTTGTGTTGTGTGTGGGTAGGTTTGGCCCCGATGCGTCCTTCCTGGTGTCTACTTCGATAGACCGCACCGTGAGAGTGTGGAACCAGCGACAGGCACCTGCCGAAGGCTAGACACACCCCGCCCACCCCATTCCACCCCCCCTCCCTCTCTCTCACGGCCTCCTCTTTTGTGCTGGCTGGTTTGTCGGTCCACGGCCGGAAGCGAAGCAGCAGACAGAGAGGCGCGTGCACGAACCGGCGATCAGATGATGTGAGCCATCCATCCACTCGTCCGTCGCCCGTTCACCCCCCTCCCCCGCCCCCCTTCTTAACACATACAACCGTATTGGTCTGTGTGTCTGAGTGTCGGTGTGAGTGGCTGCCTGAATGGTCGAGCGGTGTCGATATTGCTTTTGTGAGACAACGAGACGAGACGAGAGGAGACGAGTGCACTTATTCCAGCCTGCCTGCCTGCCAGCCCGCCTGCCTCCTTCCTACCTACTTACTATTTCTCTGCTGCAACAGTGAGGGGGACGGGGACGGGGAGGGGAACATACAAGGTGATGGATGCATATCTTGGCGGTAGAATTTAATGGACAGACACAGCACAGTTGGTTGACCTGGTCGACTGAGTAATGCTATGCGTGCGTGGGCGTGTGGTATGACAAACAGTGAGTCACGTGTCAGGCAGGCCGGCAGACTAGGCAGCCAGCGGTATCTCTCTATCTCTGTAGGTAGGTAGGTGGGTATGCTTACATAAGCGGGGGGAAGGAGCCAAGGAGGAGACAAGTGGGTCAGTCGTCAATTTTGGATTGTCGATTGATTGAGAGGGGTATATCACTCACTGCAAATGGCTGCCCCATCCTCCCTCCCTCTCTCCGTTTTCTTCCATGTATGTATGTATGTCGGTGCCTGCAATGCATGGTCGGATCGTTTCCGCTTGCTGCATCCCTAAAAGAGCAGTACAGAGCAGGAAGGAGAGACCCCACAGCACGACACAGACACACTCACACTCACTCACACACACATATCCACCCATACATGCATGCCACAGCTCCCTCCCGTGTTTTCTCTTTTGTTTCGTTCTTATTTTTGATGCTGACTGTCCGCATATGTGCATGGGTATGTAGATGATGAGTGACCTGTCTGTCTGTCTGTCTGTCTCTCTGAGAATGAATGGAGGGAATTTCAAGGAGGAGCACAAGTGCACTGACCATCTGATGCCTGCCTGCGTGTCTGTCTATCTATCTCCCTGTGTGTCTGTCTATCTGTCTGTCTGTCTGTCTGTCTGTCTGATTCTCAGTCTCGCCTCCTGTCTCAGCCTGCTGGTGCATGCCTTGCCTTGCCCTCAACGTTCACGGACAGCCGCCATATGTGTGTTCGTGCCTGCATGACTCATACACATCCTAAATGCATGTCTGCGTGTCAAACTGCATGCATGCGTCAGAAGGGGGGCCGCCCCCACGTCCGACTTCCGAGCTCGCAGGTTCCCCCTAGCCATGCCTCCGTGCTCAAGAGCCACCGGCCGTATGGCGGCAGCTCTCCTGTGCCTCATCGTTGAAATCCAAGAGGCTCGGGCACTCCGATATAGGTGAATCAGTGCAACGATGAAAGACATGCCCGCTGATGTGTCGACGGGCGTCCTTTGTCTGCTCGCAGGAACGCGACACTGTTGCACGTGTCTTTCTCCGCCAGGCCACCAAAGAGGGGGAATGGTGACGCGGCCGAGCCAGACATCGCGAAGCTGGACAGGAACCTCCAATTCATGGCGACCTCGGCATGAAGGTCCACGAGATGCAGTGCAGATGGCATGTGCACGATGGTTGCTGCTCGATGTCTGTGCAGGGCTCCAATTTGGGCTCACTGTCTCCCATGTTTGTCAAGGAGGAGGACCTGAAGCTGCCAAAGACGGCCTCGATAGGTATACAGGTCACGCCCCCCAAATCGCCAGATGCGGGCAAGGAGCCGCGTCCACTGCCGGAGGACCTCACGGCCGAACACGTGAGGAAATGAGACCAAAAAGGGAACACATTCAGTGATGATTTGTGCGTGTTGGGAGTTCACTTGGTTCGTCAAGTCCGAAACGAGCATTTCGCTCAGGTGCAGAAGATAGTGGAGAGCTTCAAGGTGAGGCAGTGTGGCCCATCGCACGCAAAGGCTGCCTGTTTTGGCCCTGTACCGACTACTTGTATGCCTGCTTCTCTGCAGGGCGACCCAGAGCGAATCAACCATCCCAGCATCGTGAGACAACACATGTCTGACCGAATGAGACAAGCCTGCTTTGTCTGATCTCTGTCAGTCTGGCAAGGATACTGCGCTGACAGTGGCGGCCAAGCTGCGTCACCACGCTCTCAAGTTCGCCAAGTACCTTGTCGACCACAAGGCAGACGTCAACAAAGCCAGAGGGGTCAGCACTGGCCAGCGGATGTAATGCATGTGTCTCGCTCCACCAGAGGGATATGCTTGTCGGTGCAGGACGGCCAAAGTCCGCTGATTCGCGCGGTGCTCGGTCACAACCCGACTGTAGCTGAGAAACTGCTCAACGACGGTGCTAACATCAACCATATCGACAAGGTCGGCGATAGATCTTTGACTGTCTTGCCTCACATGGTGCCTGTCTGCCATTCCTTTCCCATCATGCAGTATCATTTCACGCCTCTCCGCTGGGCCATCGAGGTCGACGACATGGAGATGATCAGACTGCTGCTCGCCCGCGGCGCAGATCCAAACCTGGCTGACTGGGTAAAACCTACGAAGAAGGGACAGGTGCGCTTCATTTCGTCTGTCGATTGTAGTACGATAAGACGCCACTCTTCCGACTCGTGGAGAAGAAGCGGCTGCAGATGCTCGTCGACTTTCTTGAAGAACTCAAGAGACGAAACATCAAACCAAACATCAACCGGCCAAACAGGGTGGTCGATCCGCTTTGATCCGCAGCCGCTTTCCTCCTTTCTTTCGTGTCTCTTGTTTGTTTGCTGTCACAGGACGGTGTCACGCCGCTCGGGCTGAGTCTCACCTACTTTGTGAGAGCGAGCAGCACACACCGGTCTGTTTGTGCATGATCCACTTTGTCTTCTTCCTGCAGGACCAGCGCTACACCGCAGCGCTTGTCGGCCACGAAGCACCGGTGGCGGGCCCTTCGCTTGAAAAGGCGGCAGGCAGCACATCGCCCCTCGTCATGGCCGTCAGGCACAACTTTGACGAGGGTCTGCTGCTCAAAGACGCCGAGGCATCCATTTCTGCATCCATCGAGGAGGCCGTGACCGGCAAGTCCCATGCTGCCATCTGCTCCATGCTCGACGAGAACGGCCGCGATGTGCTGTGGTGGGCGGCGTACCATGGGCAGGAGAGCCTGGTCAAGTTTCTGCTGAATGGCTACATCCGTCTGGTCAAGCATCGGGTGCCGGGCAGCGAGCAGTGCAACCCACACCAGCCCGACCTCTTCGGTGCGAGGCGGTTCGACGGCCGAAACAGTGTGCCATTGCCGTGTGCTGTGTCTCAGGAGTGACCCCCTTGCGAGCCGCTTTGTTCACCAAGAAGAGCCGCAAAGTGATCCGGGAGCTCTACTTGGCAGACGATCCCAACATGGGGTACGTACAGTGACACACTCACTCCATCAGCATCTGCGTCCATAATGCATGTGCAGGGACGGTCCCCTGCTGAGCGCCTTCCGTTTCGACAACACGTTCAGAATCATCGCAGAGCTCTTCTACAGGCGAAGTGTAAGAGAACACTTACAAAACATCCACAAAAAGCAAGCAGCCCTTGCCAATTTCCCCCTCATTCAGGCTGCCTATGAGGGCACTTACGAGGAGTTTGTGGCACTGTCACCGAGAGACAAGCTGAAACACGTGCGGCTGAGCCACGAGAACTACCTTGGGTCCACACCACTGCCGATGGCATTGCGGCTGAGGGACGCACACTCATTCTCATTCCTTTTGGGGGCCTGCACAAAGGGCGGATTAGACGGAGAGGTCGTCAAGGCCCTCTACTACGCAGCTGGTAAGACAGGGGTGACATAATCCATCAAAACAGAGACATGGAGCAGCTGTACGTGTCTCTGCGACGGTTCAGCTCAGAACTACGTGCCCGAGATGGAGGAGATTCTGACGACCTATCCGCCCGCCGCCGAAAAGCTGCTCGGCGACCTGCCATACAAGTAGGCTAAAGCCAGCTTCTCTGATGGTACTCGGCGTGCTCACGTCACCATGGCTTCTGTCAGGCTGCCTCTCCACAGCAGTGTGGCGCTCACTGTGATCGACGGCCTACCGAAGGAACATCCGCCATGGCAGACAGCCAAGCCGCTGCTGGTGGCGGCCCTTGCGCTGAGAGAGGACGTGATGGAAGCCCTCCTGTCGCCGAAGCACCGCCACCTCACACCCCCAGAGCACCTCGAGGCAGTGCTGCGCGAGGTGGTCCTGCGCAAGCTGCCCTACTACGTCAACGAGGAGTTTTACGACCAAACGGGCGTGTTGAGCGAAGAGCTGAGGAGGCGGAGAGTCACTCTGGTGCTGCCGGGGGAGAGGTCGACAACAGCGGCGATGGCCAACAACGTTACTGCTGACCATGATGAGGAGAAGCCGGCTCCTGCTGCTGGTGGTGGTGGGGTGTCGTTTGTGGAAAGGAAGTCATCGAGTGGCCGTGGTTTGACGAGGAGGCTGATGCAGATGGTGCCCTTTCTGGACGAAATGCGGCAACAGAAGGAGAGCATGGAGTACAAGAACCGAATGGCCATCCTGCAACAGATATTTGAGTACTTAAGAGTTGAACACAGGCTGCGAGCCGTCATTGGTCTGTCTTGTGTGTTCAGGTCGCCGTTAGTGTCTGTGGAGCCTTTCTTTAAGACCTTCAATCTTGTTGTGACCTTGTGCTGTCTCGGCGTTTATGTCCTGTGGGTGGTAGGCGTCTTTCTGCTTCCTCGCCTCTCGTCATGGCCTCACATTGACTTGTGTAACCTCGTCCCCTTCTCGTCAGATCACCAATTCGTGCATGGTGGGCGGGAAATGGAGAAAAGACAGCACAACACTGGACAAGAGTGTCTCCGCCTGTCATTGGTCTTCAGCTCTGAAGGTGGGCGCTGCAGCGATGATCGGCCACCAGGGCACCATATTCAACTGGGATCTGACCCTAATCGACCGCATCATCCACTGGTCGTATGTCTCCACTCGCTTCGTCTTCCTCGCCCTGTCTGTCCTCTTCCTGTTCTACGTGGAGCGGTACATTCACGCCTTCATGCCGATTTTCATCCTTCTCGGAGGCGGTATCTTTCGGGCCATCCAGAGCTTTTGTATGACGCGCAACGCTGCAAGAACATGCGGTGCGATCAGCCCTCCGGCTCTTGTTCACTCGCCTGCCTGGCCCATCCATTCCCGCTGTGCCGTGTTCAGGTATGGACTTGATCCGCGAAGGCACTGATCCGGAGGAATTCTGGCCTCAAGACCTTGAGAAGATCGAGTATGATCCCCAATACGAGAACAAGCCCGAGGGAACACAGGTGAAGACGACAGCGTGCATCAGAACACGACACGCCACATCATGTGCGATGGATGGTTGTGCGTCAGGAGTACTACCAAGGGTTGACGAAGGCGCAGAGAGTGTCGCTGGGGCAGTACACCTTTACCGTATTGGTCGGCGGCACGTGCGCCTTCCTGCAGGCGATGGCAGCCTGCATCCTCAGACTGGTCTTCCTTGACTACGCCGAATTCTATCGGCACAGATACTCGTACACCTCAACACGAGACTACCTGTGAGCTGAGCAACACGTGGGAACGGCACCACATTCATTTGGCATTCCTCTGCTTTCTTTCCAGCCCTCTGGCGATATGCATGGAGGTGTGCATCGTGATGTCGGTGTGGCTGCTGGCCTTCGACCTGATGAAGCCGCTGATCCTGACGGTGCTGAGCGGCATGAGTCACTTCAGGCTCATGAGACACTTCCTTGTAAAGTACAACCACGAACAGCTCTCCGACGACTACAACTTCGATGCCGAAGTACAAGACTGGCTACAGGCCAGGTAAGTCTAGATGCGAGAAGGAAACACCCCCAGCCAGCCCGCATTTGCATGTCTCTCCCTATTGTACGACGCAGGCAGGAGGTACTGGATCGAATGAAGTCTCGCGCCAGTGGACTGAACCCGCCCTTCCAGATGCTCTCGGCCTTTGTGCTTGGTCAGAAACAGAGACATGCTGAACGAACGTCCTTGCTCTCTGCCAAATGTACGTGCGTTTGTGTATGTGTTTTTGCACAGCCGCGCTGGGGATAATGGTGTGCAAATCTCTGGCGAAAATCGGCGTGCTCTTCGCGACTTGGACGACCTTTGAGGGCAAGGAGGCGACCAAGGTGCATCGGGGTGACAAGATAGCGCTTTCACTGGAGATAGACTTCTACTGGTACATGATGGCCGTGAGCGGTACGCTGCTGTGCATCACGGTCATACTGTGGGGTGGATGGGCAAACGACGTAAGCCCGCACACCGAGACACGGACAACCACACGCGAGGTTGAGACACGAGCTTCCGTGTTGTGTCCTTGTTTCATCCATGTGTTCAGCTGGCGTCTCAGCATTGGAGTCAGCTGTCGAATGCCATCAAGGACATGCCCGTCGACAGCGACAGGCGGAAGACATCAGAGAGAATATACCTCTCCATCAAACCTGAAGACCCACTCGTCTCCGTACGGAACAGGAACAATCTGACTGCCTGTCTGTCTTGAGTCAGCCACATGCGTCTCCTCTGTCTGTATGCGCATGTAGGTGTGGGGGATTCCACTGACAGGTGTGCTGTCTTATTTCATCACGGCCTTCCTGCTGTTGGGCATCTTTGTGGCCGGGCAGCTGTTCCTCATCCACCTGCCCATGCAGTGATCGATCAACTAAAAGGACACCAGCCTGTTCGTGCGCGGGTGCGACAAGAGCATGACGAGAATAGTGTATAGGTATCTCGGGGGAAGGAGATTTGTGGATGGATAAGTGCATGCCATTGGATGGATGTTCGGCCTAGCTATCGATGTCGATATCTGAATCATAGAGGCGAGTGTCGACAATTTTAGTATGATATGTGTCACATATTGGTCCACAGACTGGGGGTGGACGGCACGCATGGCCTGCTTGATAAACACAAAAATACATTAGCTCATAGGTCGGTCTCTCATGAAATGGACTGCGTCAATCGACCAACCCTCAATCATGCGACAAACATGCCAGCACCATCCTCAGCGCCCGCCTGGCGTATCTTCCAGCGGCGCCGCCCACCACGCACACACATACTGTACTCGCTTGATGATGTCCTCGAGCCCCTGCCGTCGTACCTGCCTGGAAAATAGAGTACACACTTGGCCAGGATTCCCAGGTCGTCCATGAGACTGTGGCCCCCTCTAGGCGGCCCCCATGCGCACCGTGGGTGCTTTCAAGGCAAGCGGTTCCGTCCTTTAAGCATCCTTCTCCCCTCAGAATGCTGTCGCTCAAGAATATGCTGGTCGTCGTCTTCTTGGCGACGGTGTGCGGCGCCGACTTCCTTGCCGGGACTCCAGTGAATGCCCACTGGCAGCATCCGCATCGTGCCCTTGAGCAGTCAGGTCAGGCACAGCTGCTGCATGTCGCAATCAAGCGGCCAAACCAAGAGATGCATGCACCATGGCTATGTCTTAGACGCGCCGAAGCTTGAGACCCTGTGGCACCGCCTTGACAAGTACTTCGCCGCCAAGAGGGACAACATAGTGAAGCAGCTCAAGAAAAATAAAGCCTTCCACTATCCGTGTCTAGGTGAGCAGGCACGCAGAAACAGGAGAGGGCCACATGTGTGTACTTGCCAGAAGTGGAGAAGTGGCTCCGAAAGGAAGTCGACAATACAACGATGCCCATCTTTTCACGAGGGCAGCGCCCGACACTTCCCATCATCGGCTTTGACTCCCTGGCCTCAACTCAGTCGGCTCTACGCTCTTTCACGGTGCTCGAACAGTAGAAGGAAGGCAACACGCAGTTTGCAAAACGGAGTTGCATTTGTCATGATTTGTGATAGCCTGAGGAAGTTGCCACGGCACGCCCGGCCGTGGCATTCGGCGCTCGTCGAATTTTCAATTACGCCTTCAAGGTCAGCGCCGTATTGAGTAACAGGCAGGTGAGTCAGCAGCCTGATATGCTGCTTGTCGACCTTTAAGACATGTCGCGGTGAGATGAAGAGAAAGCTGACAAACGAGTACTTGAGTGGAGCGGTCGAGGACGACGCTGCTTTGTTCGAGCTGGTGACGGGTGGTGTGCTGGGCTCCTACAAGTTCACGCACAAGGACCCCTGCGTCGAGACGGCTGTCGCTGTGCTCAACATAGAGAACTTCCCACATTATAAGTACAAAAAATTGTCCGCGGCGCGAGGCACCTTCCCCCTTCTGACCGGCGTTGTCTACGACTTGAAGGATGAGACGATAAAGAAAGTGAGGTGCCGCGAAAGCGGCTATAATTTGGTGCCCTTGGCGTACATCCCATGGGGGTATGTCATGTCTTTGGTGTATGTATCCGTAGACATTCCGCGTGTGTGCGTGTGTATGTGTGTGTGCGTCGTGATGCAGTGCTGCGAAGGATGCCAGTGAAGAAGAGTTACTGCAGACACGCTTTGAGGTCGCTTACGCGCTGGTTGTGCCACCCGGAAAGGAGTGCATTGTCAAGGATCCGTCCGAGGCCTACCCAGTGCCCAACTACGTATGTGAAGGAGACACAGTGAGACATCCCTTACCCATTCACACATACATGCTGCCCTTGATGTGCATGCAGTTCAAGATCTGCAGGCAGGCACAGTTTGACGTCGATGAGCTGTTCGCAGAGATGTACGACGTGACTACAGTGCTCGGTCAGTCCACAGATATGAAGCAGGATGCCCCAGTCTGCGGATTAACCATTTCTGTCGGCGTGTCATGTGTCATGCACTGCAGCCGACGGGGTGACAACTGCTGGCGACTGGCAGAAGCTGATGGAAAAGAAGGACCGTCGCACACTCGAGATCGACGACCCCAAGTGCGAGGAGCAGCAGCCTTCTTCCCAGGATCCGAAGTCCGTCGTGCTGGGCAAAAAGAAGGCATCCGAAGCGGCAAAGGACGAATGAGGGCCAAAACACCGAAGGCCCTCCCGGACAAATGGTTCAGGGGAAGCACACGGACAAGGGAATTATGTGAGACATACACACACGCACGACGCTGACAAGACGGGCAGAGAGACAGGATGAGAGGACGACAGCCTATGTTTTGTTCTGATTTCACGGGAGACGAGTGCAAACGTCTGGATACAATGAAAGCCCATTGCGTCGATGTGCGTGCAATGGACACGGCCACAACACACTACACGCACACTAAAGAGGAATCACCGTCACCCACCACGAGAATCTGGGCCACTGGATAAGTAAGTCTGTTCTGCTGCGTTTCGTCATCTATAGCTACGTATTTGCTGTCGGTGTCTCCTTTGTGTCTGTGCGCCCCTTCACTCGTTCAGGGGAGGGCAATTTACTTATCAATGGACCAGTGCACGCACGCACCGATGGCCGTTGATGGGCTCTGACCCATGGGTGAGTGTCGACAATCATGGGCCACGCAGTGTGTTTTCACACATGGTATTCAAGACAGGGAGATCCTTGCGGCGAAAACATGCAGGAGCACGTCACAGGCACAAACGGCTCATCGACGTACGTCACATGCACACTATCGACAGCAGCAGCATTCCCCGCCCTTCCTCCCAGAGAGGCTCACAGAAAGGCCACACACCAAGCCACGAGCAGCCAGAAGGTCAAAGTCATATATTGGGCACCCAGTCAGGAATGCCTCCGCAGTCCGCTAGCAGCCCCCATTCGACATGTATGTCGATTGCCTGACCAGCTCGCCACTGCTGCTCTGCCACACAGCCGGAGTAAAACGTCCCACATGTCGCCGTCCCCCTGGCAAACCGCCCCTCGAACACAGGGCCGAGGGAGCGACAGCTGGCCGTGCCCTGGCCGTGCCACTCCCCATTCTCCCACCCTCCCTCGTACTCCTTCTCGCCGTTATCGTGATACGAGATGCCCTCCCCGTGCTTGTGTCCGCACCGCCACTGGCCCTCGTACGCCCTCTTGCCGTTTTGATGATAGCTGATCCCCTGGCCATGAGGCTGGCCGTCGAGCAGCGGGCCGGTGTCTTTGCTGCCTCCCCACGTGATGCTGCTGATCCAGCCCTCGCCGTGCATCTGTCCCTCCCGCCATTCGCCCCGGTAGAGCTCCGAGCCGCTTGAGTCGTACTGGGTGCCCTGGCCGTCATACTTGCCACTCACCCAATGCCCCTGATACTCCATCTTGCCATTGGCGCGGTAGCTGGTGCCCTGGCCGTGCATCCTGCCGTCTACCCATTGTCCTTCTTTCTCCTTGGTGCCATTCTGATCGTAGCTGACGCCCTGACCATGGTACTTGCCGGCTGTCCACTGGCCGTCGTACTTCTTGGTCTCGCCGTCGCCATGATAACACACACCGACGCCGTCATACTTCTCATCAGCCCACTGCCCCTCGTAGATCTTCTTGTGCCTGTCCATGTCGGTCTGCTTGCCGGGGCCGTGTGGGCGACCGTTCTTGACGCGGCCATAGTATTTGCTGCCGTCATCGAGGATGAGCTCGACGGGCTGACGGTCACTCGCTGCACGCAGCTCGGCCAACTCCGCCTCAAGCCGCTTACACCGCATCTTCCATTCATCTCGGTCACTTGTGAGGACCTCCACCAACCGAGCCTGTGTCCTCATGTGTTCTTGCGCCTGCATGCGGATCTCCCGCTCGGCCACGTCGGTGTAGGCACTCGATGAGGCGGCATCTGGAAGGGTCAGCTCCGCAAGCTGACCCTCGAGCTGCTCAACTCGCTTCTGCAGCTCCTCCATCATCAAATTGCGGCGCAATCGATACTCCTGAGTCGGTGCATGGGCTCTCTCATCATTTGCAACAGAGGGAATCAGTCCAATGGAAGGAGAAATGCGGGAGGGAGATCTGCCTTGAGCTCGCAGCTGAGCTTGCTTGGAAGGAGAAGAAGAAACAGCGGGCAGCAACTGAGGTTGAGCTGGATCTCCTCCGCGTTCGTTTCAAGCCGCCAACATGAGTTACATGCTGGTAAGATCACATGCACGGGAAGCTGTTGTAACAGATGGAGGCCTCCGCCATGCTCATCTCGGTTGCCCGATGGCTGCTGACTCATTGCTGACGGATATGGTGTGGCATGTGTGCAGCAACCGACCATCCTTCTGCTCAAGGAGGGCACCGACTCGTCCCAGGGCAAGTCTCAGATCATCAGCAACATCAACGCATGCCAAGTCGTCGTCGACATAGTCAGGACCACACTAGGTCGGCCACAAACACAGCACAACACAACACAATGCCAGAGAGATGGGAGGATGTGGCCGCCCGTGTCTGTGTGTATGCGTGTTGTGTGTGTGCGTGTGTGTGCAGGTCCGCGTGGCATGGACAAGCTGATCCATGAGGGCAGCGACGTGACCATCACCAACGACGGCGCGACTGTCATGAAGCTGCTCAATGTCGTCCACCCGGCGGCCAAGATTATGGTCGACATCGCCAAAGCACAAGATGAAGAGGTCACCCAGCCATCCATCCACCCGTCCATGAGCCCATCTGTCTGCCTGCCTCTGTCTGTCTCTCTGTGTGTTAGGTAGGTGACGGGACGACGAGTGTTGTGTTGCTGGCCGGCGAGTTGTTGAAGGAGGCCAAGGTGTTCATCGAGGACGGGCTGCACCCGCAGATCGTCTCCAGGGGCTTCCGCAAGGCCAGCCAGGTCGCACTCAACAAACTCGAAGACATACAAATCAACCTCTCCGACAAAACCAACGAGTGAGGGAGGGACGGAGGGAGGTGCATGGAACGATTGACGCGTCATGTGTGTATGTGTGTGAGTGTGTGTCTGCAGCGAGAAGCGTGATTTGCTGCAGAAGTGCGCCGAGACGACCCTCAACTCGAAGCTCGTGTCGGGATACAAGAAGTTCTTCAGCACGGTAGGCGACGAGGCTTCAAACACACACACACGCCAACAAAGAGATCCATGTGGATGGCCGTGTGCCGATCAGATGGTTGTGGACGCCGTCATGACACTCGACGAGGACCTGGACAAAGTGAGTGAGCACAGACGGACAGACAGACAGACAGACAGATACACGTCTGCTACGTCGGTACCTTTGCTGCAGGACATGATTGGCCTCAAGAAGGTCACCGGGGGATCGGTCACGGTGAGAGAGCACATCCCATTCATGCCGCCTTAGTGCGCATCCTCAGTGTGTCGCTGGGTGTGTGTTTCAGGACTCCCTCCTGGTCAAGGGCGTGGCGTTCAAGAAGACATTCTCCTACGCCGGTGAGCGGCCCACTCATCCCCTCTCCATCCATCTCATCTGCACTCGAGTGTATGTCATGTGTTTTCTGTATGTTGTGTAGGTTTTGAGCAGCAGCCCAAGAGGTTCGAGCACCCGAAGATCCTGCTGCTCAACCTGGAGCTGGAACTGAAAGCAGAGAAGGACAACGCAGAGATCAGAATCAACTCACCAGAGGTACGATTCACTCGGGCAATGCACGCCACGCCCACCCTTCTGCACCTCCATCCAAGTCCGTCCGTGGGTGCGTGTGCGTGTGTGTGCAGGATTACCAGGCGATCATCGACGCTGAGTGGCACATCATCTACGAGAAGCTCGAGTGCATCGTCAAGAGCGGCGCCAAGGGTAAGGAAGCAATGGACGGATGGATGGATGCCAGATACTCACTCGTCTGGATTCTCTTCCCTTGTCCATCCATACCATACGTCAGTTGTGTTAAGTCGGCTGCCGATCGGCGACCTCGCCACACAGTACTTCGCCGGTCAGCCAGCCAGACCACACACATGCACGACGATTCCGAGCTCAATCGACTCCTCCTCCCTTGTGCAGACCGTGATGTGTTCTGTGCCGGCCGTGTCGAGGAACAGGTAGGCCATAGTGCAGCCACGGCAGTTGCGAGTCGTTCACCTGCTGCGTTGTGTGTGTCATCAGGACGTCCGCCGGACGCAGCGTGCGACGGGGGCGGCCGTCCAGACCACTGTGCACAACCTCACCCCTGACGTCCTCGGTGAGTGAGTCACCATGCAGTGCAATCAGGCACCATGAGGATGACGCTGCATGAATGTCCTGCCTGTGTGCTTGTCTTTCAGGCACGTGTGGCGAGTTTGAGGAGATCCAGATCGGATCCGAGCGATACAACCTCTTCAAGGAGTGCCCGGGGGTATGGTAGACATGATGGCCAAACGACCAACACACCACACCACACCGACTCATCCATCCAATCTGTCTGATCGATCAGACCAAGTCTGCCACGATCATCCTGCGCGGCGGCGCCCAGCAGTTCGTCGACGAGGCCGAGAGGTCGCTCCACGACGCCATCATGATAGTCCGCCGCGCCATCAAATCCAACTGCGTCGTGGGCGGCGGAGGCGCCATCGAGGTCAGTGAGCAAATGGATGGATGGCGCTGTGTGGACGGTGGTTGTATGTGTGTGGCTGTGTGTGCAGATGGAGTTGAGTCGGTATCTGCGAGAGTACTCCCGTTCGATCAGCGGCAAGCAGCAGTTGGTCATCAACGCGTACGCCAAGGCGCTCGAGTGCATCCCCAAAGCGCTTGCAGCCAACTCAGGTGGGTGGGTAGGCAGGCACACAAACACACCGTGACACAACTGGCACAACGCTGTCAGTCATTTCATTACGTGTGCTGACTGACTTGTGCTGTGCCACCACATGATGTATGTCAGGTTTGGACGCCATCGATCTGCTCAACAAGCTGCGACAGAAGCACGCCCAGGCCAAACGTACGTATGGGACACACAGACACAGACACAGAGGGCACGGCGCGTGTGTCCGCTCCCTGTCTGTTCTCAGCCGAGACGCGCTGGTTCGGCGTGGACTGTTTGGGCGGCGGCATCTGCGACACCTACGAGAGCTACATATGGGAGCCCTCACTCGTCAAGAAAAACGCAATCGCCAGCGCCACCGAGGTCCTCCCCCACACACCCTCCACACACCCATCTCCCCATCCATCCATCCATCCCCCCTGTGCGCCTTTGCAGGCTGCGTGTTTGATTCTGTCGATTGACGAGACGGTGCGCAACCCCCGTAGCGAGATCAACAACCAGGCGCTGCCCGGCCCAGGCCCCCGTGGGCCGCCCATGATGGGCAGAGGCGGCATGATGCCGGGCAGGGGACGAGGTGAGATGAGCCGAGTTGACAGACCCGCAATATGATTCACGGTGCTATGTGTTGTGTGTTGCTGGTTTGGCAGGGGTGAGGGCGTTTAGGGGCCGTGGCGGCCGATGAGACGAGACGAGACGAGATGGCGCTCGCTTCGTGTAGATGATGGTTCGTGACTGCTCTGCGCTTTATTACTCATTCATATCAGACGGACAGACTGCGTGGATGGCCAGCTGCTTAGGTAGGTAGGTAGGTGTCTGTCTAGACCTCTTGATTGATGTCAGTCATATCGTCCGTCACGCATCACCATGAACCAATTGAACCAATCATTGAGGCGTCCATACCATCCATACCGTTCATCTAAGTGGTGGTGGGCGGCAAGGGTGGGTGGGTGGATGTGGCGCTGCGATCATCTATCTCTGCATCCATCCGTTTTGTTGCGTCGAGTTCGGGGCAGCCCAGTCAGTCAAGGAGTCAGTCAGTGTGGGGGTCGGTCGGTCAGTCAGTCAGGTCGGTGTGAAAACGAACGAATTCATTGACCCTTCCCCATCCCCCACAGGCCCCCCATCCATCCGGCAGCAAGCCACATCAATCCATCCATCCATCCCCCATCCACAAAGCACAGCGAATTCACTCACGCGTCAGGCATACAGTCACGCAGACTCAGTCAGTCAGTCAGTCAGCCAGTCAGTCAATTCAGCCATCCGCGGGGTGGGCCCACCCACCCCACCACACGGGGGGTCAGCATGAACAAGAACAAGACATGGTGACCCTCCCTCCCTCCTTCCCTCCATCCCACTATCCCCGACGGTCAACGGTCACATTCTTCATTGATGTCTTGTTTTTTGAGCAAACATGCGGCGACCTGTGTCTCTCGCTCTGTGTCAGTGTCGGTCAGTCAGTGAGCGCCGGTGTCCCTCTACCATCAAGGACGAGGTGCTATCATTGTGGGTATGTCGGTTCAGCGAGTACGAGAGATGAGGGAGGCACGCCACACCCATCCATCCATCCATCCACATGACACTCATGACGCGGCAACAGGACAACGAATGCCAGACCAATCTCTCCCTCTCTCTCTCTCTCTCTTTCTCCCTCTGTGTGTGTGCGTGTGTCGTGTAGGTATCTGAAACAAAGGGTGCGAAAAACAGCAGTGAGAGGCTCTCTCTGTTATCTCACTCATATCCATCCATCCATCCATCGCACGAACCATTAGATCATAGCCACCCACCTGTCTGCCTCCCTGAAATCGGGGCTACGCACCGTATTCACCTGCACCATCGAACCACCTGTACAGCCGACCTTTCCTCTCCCTCTCTCTCTCTCTCTCTGTCTCTCTCTGATGTCGTCACTTTGCCACGGCTGGATGGATCCACCCTCACTAGTACGGACGAAATCACTTCCGTACCACCGCCTTCCTGGCTAATTAACAACCACCACCACCACCAGCCCACCATGGCCCGCCGACAAATCAGTCCATCCATCCATCCATCCATGTGTGTGTGTGTGTGTGCGTGTGTCGGGTGTTGTTGATGTGTGGAGACACAGGAAGGACAGGTCAGATCACCAGAGTGGAGAAGAGCAGAGCACGGGAGAGGGCAAAGCAAGACACGCACACACACACACACACACACACGTGTGTCCGGGGTGCCAGGGGAGTGTGTGTAAGTATGTGAACATGGCCATCCATCCATCCATCCATCTATCGATCAATCGATCGAGGTGAAAGGGAGAGGGGAGGGGAAGTTTGTCGTCTGGTGGCGCTGGGGTGCGGTGCACAACGACAACGAGGCGGGCAAGTGTCCAGTCCACTCAGGAAACACTTTCCGAGCGGACCTTCCTCCCTCCCACCCCCCCTTCGTCCCCCCAGGCCCCTTAATTGGACACACGCCACAGCACAGCCTCACCATTTTATGAGGCACAAACAAACCAGCAACGGACGTGACGACACACATGCACCATTGAACGTCTACCTGTTTGTTCGTCTACACACATACAGGGGGGCGAACAGAGGGCCCAGAAAAAAAGGAATAGGTTGGCGTGTGTGTGTTCGTTCGATAGACAGACAGAGTGGGTGTGTGTGCTGTGCTTAAGATAAGATGGAGGAAAACAAAACGTGGCTCACAGGGGGACGCAGTAAGTCAGTCAAAACCTGTCTGTCTTGTGTAGGTAAAGGTGGCACATACATAGAGAGGCAAAACCTTCGTTGATTCCACTGGATTGGACTGGGAGAGGCAGCAGATAGATATGAGAGGCAGGCCGAGAGAGATACCAGGAGAGAGAAAACCTGTATCGTCCGCCAGTCTCGGAAGAGACCTGTGTGTGTGCGTGTAAGGAACCTGTCTGCCTGTCTGTCTGTCTGCCTGATCTTACGTACGGTAGTCAACGAAGGACGGGCGAAGGTCGAGTAGTACGGACACCCCCGCTAATTACCTACCTTTCTCTACCCCTTACCCATCCCCCCCCGCCGCCCACAGCCAGCCATTCTATGCAGTATACCTTTCCTGCATAATTACTAAATCACCAGCCAACCAGTGCCGCAGCCCACCAAAAACAGCACACCAGCAAGACAGTCGAGTAGAGTGGAGAGAAAGTGATCCATCCATTCAGGTACACAACACACCTTTCGTTGGTCGGTCGGTCGGTCAGCCAGCCGTCATGTCAAGTACGCAGCGACGAGGGGTAGGCGGCGCACGATCCGGCTTTTGATCTGATCGCCCCCTATTCCCCGTCGATTCGACAGACCACACACACGACACACAACACGCCATACACCCCACACAGAGGGAGAGAACAGGCAACCTGCTTTACGCATTGCAGTCAGTCAGTCAGTCGGTCAGTCGTGCACACACCTGCCTGTGGACTGTGTATGGCTGTGGGTGTGTGTGTGTGACCATGACAAAAAAAGGAATATGAATATGGAGCATCCCGGAGCGATGGACGGAGGGAGAGAGGGAGGCAGGGAGGGAGGGGGTTGTGACCCCTGTGTCTGTCTGTCTGCCGACCTGCCTGCCTGCGTCTGTGAGAGGTGATTAGAGAGGGAGGGAGAGAGAGGGAGTGACGTGACATACCTGCTGCCTACGCGCAACTTACAGAGAGAGATGGAAGTACACAATAGGATGAAACCCATCCACCCACACTCATCCACACACACACCTGCCACTGACTGCTTGCTGCCTTGGTGCATCCACACAACCATACACGCATACACACAACCACACACAGATCGAGAGAGACAGAGATGGGGACTGGACGCCTGAGTGAGCCAGCCGAGCCATTGTGGACCGTTGCGTTACCCTGTGTGAGTGTGGTGGAAAGCCAGCCAGTCACCTACCTGTCGGTGTCTGTTTGTCTGTCTGTCTGTCTGTCTGCCTTCGTTGGGTGTGTCATCTTGCCTTCTCTGCCCGTCTGCCTCTTTGTCTGCCTGCCTGCCCTGCCAGCCTGTCGGAGGAAGCAAGAGCAGAGCAAGCAAGCAGAGGAGCAAGCAAGAGAAGGCCTCGCCCACTCCCTCCCTGACCTGTTAAAAGAGCCAACAAAGGCGAAGAAATAGGTCCTAATACACACAATACTGACTTGACGATAGAAACAAAGAAGATACGATGGATGGATGTGTTGATGTGTTGATATGTCGATGTGTGGATGTGTGTGTGGTTGTGAGTGGGCGTGTGGTGTCTGTCTGTGTGTGTGTACTATGGGAAAAAACTGCACGCACCATCCCATCCGCCTCGCCACGCAATGCATAATACGAACGACACCACGCGACGACGCGGCAACGCATCAATCACGCCACAGCAGCTACAGCCGCCACAGCAGCAGCAAACACCATCCATCCGGAGAGAAAAGGATAAAGACACACCCACCCCCCGCCGCCCAATCAACCCCTCCCTCGCTCCATCCCATCAGACGCCGTTGTGATCAAGTGACGCTGCACGTCATACCGACCCGTAGATAGACAGACACAACGGCGGTCGGTGCAAAAAGAGTAAGTCCGCCCATCCGGCGAGCGAGCGAAGCTGGCGTGTGCTGCGCCCCTCCATCAGCGCTGCTACGGCCGCGCGCATGCCAACCGCCGCCGTAGCGGCGCTGACGGACGTACTCAACACACGCCAACCTCATCGATGAGCTGTGGGTACAAGAATCCCCCGTTTTTCGAAATCAAACACCGACTTGACATACACCGTCTGTCTGTCTGTGTGCGTGGCTTGTTATGGCTTAGCGATTATAGAATAAACAGCATCAGGCAAAACAAGCACCCCCCCGCCCCTCTGGTCGGATCGATCGGCGTACTCGTTAGTTACTTAGTTAAAGACACACGACACGCAGGCGGAGAGACACAGGCAGAAGAGTGACGGGCGGAGGGATGGGTGGTCGGCATGTGCTGACTGACCAGTGGAATCGTTAATGTCAACAGAAAAGGTGTACTCATACGCAGACCCCGCTCCACACACAGAACACGCAAACACGCACAGACAGACTCAGGCAGGCAGTCAGGCAAGTGTGTATGGCAATGGTATAATGGTATGTATGACACTGACTACGACTAAACACACACAAACACACACACACACACACGCACACACACACACACACACAATGCACCCTCTCTCTCATGCCACCCCGCGGACACACACACGCACCGAACGAACCAACGAACAAACAAAAACACCCATCCTCGCGTCTTGTCTTTCTTCCTTCTAATCCGTCCGCCAGGCAGCACACAGCACACAGCACACAGCACACAGCACACAGCACACAGCAGCGACAAGCA